GTGCGTATTTTTAATTAATTTATGTTCGATGCTTATGCTTATAATTTAGGCCTGCAGCCTATGGACACCCTCTACTGTTGTTCAACACCTATAGAGGGTTCCGCAATTTTTCATATTACCCACAATGCAACGACACCGGCCATGACGGATACAGAAACCAGTTCAGGCATGGTACAAGTACATTGAGCAACGCACCTCTGCTCACTTTATATTCGCCTATTAAGCAAATGCATCACAACGCCGCTCTCCTGCGGTGTTGTCAACTGCAGCAATCGGTATCAGAGAGAGCCACACAGCTTTTTTAGGCTGCCTAGCGTGATCACAACACAAGGTAAAGTGACGAGAGACCAGGCGGACCACAGATTCTTGGAGCATTTTCAATAAAAAAGCAATGCTGAATAAACACGAAATGTATTTACTACCAATGTCTTAATGTTTCTCTACTCTCTTTCGCCTAGTATTGCCGATAATTACCTGTAAATGCCGGTCAAATGCTCCTCTGCAACACACAGGTACACCGCACGCACGGCGCACGCCGCTACACATTTACACTTATAATTTTATATACATAATGCTATATCGCCGGTATCCAGTAGGCAGCTGTTTGATTGGGGGTGATGATTTCTCTTGCACGTGCAGCATACTCTTCATAAAATAGCACCGAGGCAACATGTGAACAGAATTCACCAAGCCCGGCTTTACAATTACAGTGTGCTGACATGATGCCTGTCCCATTTATCTCATCGTGACTCATGCACGGATAGAGAGATGGTATAATCAGAGACTGGTAGTGCATAACACGTGCTCGGATAACGTAGATGGGACTCTCACTGTTCACATGATAGATGTAGCCTGATACACCACTAACCCAACCGCAGAACAGTCGATCGTAGGCATCCAGGCTTTTGTGGTTCTAAAAGTCCTTGAGAGTATAAAATGGACTCGGCTAGAATGTTAGGTAGTCAATTCACGAGATCCAAATAAGTACGTGATGGGCACAAGTTGTGGTCCTCGCTCCATTCTCGTACGGGTGTCGATTCCCAATTCACGCAATTTTCTCGAGATAGCGTGCTTTGGCTACGTTGTCTAGTGAATCAAAGTATTTATCCATACTACGTTGTCTAGTGAATCAAAGTACTTGTCCATACTACGTACACTTCAGAGATCTTCAGACAGTTGGCAAATGTGCATACACCAGATGTTATAAAACCTGTGTTTGATAGCTATATGCTGTAAAATCGGTGAAATTTCTGAACACTTGCGATGTAAACAAACTCAAGTCCATGAACATATGTGTTGCGTGCAATCTCGCGACGCTAATAAGCCCTGCGAAACCTGACCTGTGTAATCTCATTGAACTCTAGCGGAGCACCCTAACCCACGTTGATAAACCTGTCCTGAAAAATCGGGATCCACCTACTACTAATATCTATTGCAATAATAACACTATACTATAGCTAATGTAAAATCGGTTGATTGTGCAAATCAGCAGATTATATAGACTGGTACTCGCTCCCACCTCTCGGCTTAGTTACTCAATGGATGCATGGACCCATCGAGTAACTAAGCCGAGAGGTGGGAGCGAGTACCAGTCTACAGATTACACGACACACATGTTCGCTCTGTTTGTAACCAGTATGGCCGGCGGCACGGGATTGTAGGTAATATTGCTATTTTTAGTCCAAGTCGCGGAACCCTCTATACTCTATAGTACTGTTCATTACCAATTTTTAAATTACTCACAGGTCAGCAAATGAAGAAATACCAGGTACAGCTTCACTGAAGTTGAGGGCACCAATTCTTTCTGGAGAACACAGCTTCCAAAGAATGGCCTTTAAGAGCACTGCAATAGATGCTTCTAAGAAGAGGTCAGGCCCTGGGTAACAAAACAAAGGTGTGACTTATAATCAGCAGTTTTTAATTAAAGAAATATTCACAACATAGGAATATGAATATATGGACACAATACGGCTTTAATTGTCCACATCATGACTACATTAAATTCATAACTGCATTTTATATATATATATATATATATATATATATACATATATTTCTTTCCCAAAAATAATTTATGAAATCAATGTAAAACACTGAAAACAGCAATTGACATTAAGCAGTACATCACAAGAAATACCTTCCTTAAATTTCTACTCACCTGATAGAAATACACAAGCCAGTCTTGAGTAGATAGTTGCCATTGTAACAGACTGGAATAGATTTGGGTGACACTCTAGCATCATGTTTATCCACTGCAGGCAGCTTGTTACCATGGAGATGGCTAAGGAAGTAACCCCACCTACAAACAGTCCCTGTTGTTCGCTGAAAAATTGAGATAGATGCAGAGAGACCGACAGACATACAGAGACATTAGAGACAAAAAGGCAGATATAAGAAAGAAAGATAAGTATATATATATAGAGAGATCGAGATAGATAGATAGATAGATAGATAGATAGATAGATAGATAGATAACTTCATTAACAACACTCAAAGGAATAATAGGAACATTGATTATGCAATGTTGACGAATGCTAGAGTAACTGGCACCTTGTGTAGTTAATAAGTACATCACCTTATAGCCAAACGCGTATTAGTTTGTCCAATATCGTGGCTGGTTACTAAGAAATGTCTAATTGAAATCCGCAGTCCAAAAATCTGTTGTTTACAGTTTCAAACCGCTGCCGGCGAAGCGTGTGTGATACAGATTTATAGTGCACCGTACATTTTCGCACGCATGCTCGGCCGTACGCAATGCTACCATCAGTGATTTCGTAAACATGTACGCTCGTGATAAGGAACTTTTTGTCAGGGATGTCCACGTGCGTCTGTGATTAGTACATGTGTTTTACTCTATTTCCATGTTTAGTCCTGCGTGTGGGCGCGTGCTTTAGAGGTAAGAACACCAGTTGGTTCCACGCAGGTGAAGGGTGTTACATGACTTAACTGTGACCAAATACGTGATTTCACTACACAACGTATGCAAGTCTCCCCTACTCGCGAGGAAAATAAAAGGTTCCTTAGCAAATCGGTCCCCTCAGCGTGTCACCTTCTCGGTCTCTTCTCTAGGGTCGTTATAGTTCTCGTTAACCTCGCTCCGCCTTTATTTTCATAGAATGCGCATTCATTTAAACATTGACCTAATCACAACTACATGACGTCAGCCATTCTCGAGTGTCGACACATACTTATCTACACGTTATTCCACGCATCAGCGACACCCCATGCAGCCGTAAACTTGCCGCGACCTACCCGCAGGCGTAGGCAGACACCCAGCTCAATTCACCTGCCAATAATCACGTTTTCACGCTGCCCCCGGATTAACGTTGGCCGACCCATGCCCATGGTATATTTACCCATTCACAAGCCAAGGGTAAACACGTCCGCGAAAAATTAGAAATATATACGCAGTGGCCAGTGCCTTATAAACGATAACGACTCAAGCCTGAAGGTCATTCCATCGTGCCCTCGCCGTTCTTGCCGCTCGCGCCAATGCTCCTATATAGTAGACTATATAGGTTGTACCATGAACCCGAGAACCCGAATACACAGGATCTTGCATTATATTTATAGTTATTATTATAGGTATAATGGCTGTAAAGACAAATTTTATTCAAAAGGTTCTCTACTAATAGTAGTTGCACGTATAAAGTGGCAATACAAGTTCTCCACGGTTTCACTTATAGTAACAAAGTATGCCAACTCGCATTCTGATTCACTATTCACCACGTGACTATTTCCCAACCTACATGATTTCACACATAACAGAGATTTTGTAATACTCAGCATTGCGGAAGTAATACATTCCAGAAAAACGCTGACTGTAAATTTCCCGTAAGGGGAAATCACAACAGGTAATCCACATATTCCGGCTGGTTTCCATTACATAATTAGAGATGCATGCCTACAGAAAGTGTTATGAAGTAATACCTTAGTCTACCATAGTGCACACACAATTATCAAAGTGAACACTATCAAAAACGCGTATTGAATACAACACATTATGTATTTACATAATGTAACACATTATGTATTTACATAATGTAACACATTATGTATTTACATAATGTAGACGAGTAATAAAATAATACTAGGAAGGGAAAGAAAGTTGAGAATAAGACTTTGCACACTGTACCTGTCATACAGGGAACCGATTGCAAGAACACATTCCAAACACTACAGGTGTAGATGTTTCTCACTTGGTGGAAACAGTCTAACGGGTTAGCAACTAATACAAAATGTTGCCTGCCAGACTTCTTGGCAGTTGGCTGCATATTTAGTGCATCAATTTTAACTTGATGGCAATTGTGCAAGCCAACTTTTTAGGTAAAACAATCTGTTCACTCATTTGAAAAATTCCATACAAGAGAACCGTTTCATATCAGGAACATAATGCGGGGTATTACTGAACTAGTATGCAAAGCTAGTTTATGGCATATATATTATGCATTGAAATCATTTTCATGCTTTACTGCATTCTTGAGCACAAAATTCTTAAATTCTCACACCTGACTATCTATAATTGGTATAAAAAGACCATGAATCGCCATAGAAGTTCTCCAGATTTCACGTAACTGTGCTGAGCCCATGAGAAAACAGAACATCATTTACATGCTGTGGCACATTGACATACAGTTCGAATCCTAGTGTCTCTGCTGTGCTTGCCTGCTTGTACCTCAAAATGTGCTGCCTTAGTTCCTGAAAATGATGAGGACACGACTTCACACTGGGAACAGTTATGTACATGCAAAGCTACCACCACCTGTACAGTTTTTTTCATCACAGTTAAATAGCAAACAATGCCTGCAATATGTCTCATTAATTAATGTTCCTGATAGTAAACGTATCTACCAAAACAATTATCACTGTAGCATTTCACTTGGCGTACCCTTTTATTAACAAGTGCAACTTTATACTATGTACGATATGCAGTACATTACCTTATTGTTTTACCATGGTTTACCTGGGGTTTAGTTTTCTAAAACAGTCAGCAGATCATTATTTAATTTTCTATATTCTACCTCTGTATGCTTTTACCTTCTCTTAAGTTGTAAGTATTTAAAATTTCGTACTAACTCACCACGTTGTTTACTCTAGAAAGTTGCAGCAACATCTTCTTTCTGATCTTGACCTCATATTTGTATTTCATGTCATATATTTGGCATTTAGGATCAAAGTTCGCAAACAGGAAATTAGAAATGTGGCGCACAGCTACAAGGTACATGAGTGGAGATGTCTCAGGATGTACTATTTGACCAATTAGTACACGGAAATACAAAGTCAAGAGGTCAACATCCGTTTCTGTAGGATGAAGATATGCAGAGATAGCAACTGGAAGCTGAAAATAATAACAATAATCAAACTGTTAGCTGTTAGTAAACATTTTTAACTGTTAGCTGTTTTAGAATAAATAGCAAGGTAATTCTCTATTCAATTCAACAGCAATCTGCTATGGTTAGCCATTCTTCACACGCACTTCTCGGTCTACATAGGTTAGATGCTCAACTTACATTGGTCAGAGGTACACGCATAATCCTGAGGCAGTCCATGTGTTCTCCCCAAATAACCTTTCTCAGCTCTGTGCTGTACCGCTGCTGCAGTGGGACGATCACAAAACAGCTGAACAATGCATCACCAAACGACACAGCTTCAAAATGCTCCAGCAATGATCTGTAACTGTAATTAAACATCCAAACATGTTGTACTACATTGGGAATTTTAGCTGAATATTACTATAATTCATTGAAATTTCGATCATCACACTTTACATAACTGTATATTGTCACAATTATTCAATAGCCCTTGAAGTGAGACAAACTGCTTCAATACATTCGGTATGCATATATTCCAACGATACATAACAAGGCACGCATCTCAAATGTGAGAGTAAATAGTAGTAAACTTAGCTAGCCTTTTCTGGCAATGTAGGAGAAATTCACATGTATAATACCAATTACAGCATGGGTAATATTATACAAGGGCCCAGAAAAAGAAAAACAAGCTTTTCTAGATATTCTATATTCTTAAATTCCTAGAAACTAACTGAAGGGGCAATACGATGTATATGATTGAAAGTGTAGTCAATGTACAGGTAAACTACCAACTTGACTACCAAGTCGATCATGGTAGTTTTTATAACAAACACCAATGCCCTATCTGCTTAAAGTGATTACGTCACCGTAAATAGTAAAAATAAAAAAAATATCACAAAAATATAAGTAATTCTGTTCACTTTTTATGGTTAAATTGCTGCATTATACTTCCTATTTTACTATATTGTTCGATGTGAACATACACTCGTGACTCATACATAGCCCCTGGCAAGCAATTAATGTCAATAACGCAATATCAAATCGTCCAGGTTTTTTGGATTTTTAACTAGTTGAGAAACAATCTTATCAGGTAAGAATTTGACGATACGTTTAGTCCCGTTAGTTCTTACTTTTAATGTAAAAAAATGGGAATTTTTTTTTACAAATTTTACCATAGAAAATTCGTGACGTAGTAAATTTAAATATTATACAAAGAGCCCAAGAATTATATCATATAATTTATAACTATACGGTGGCGCCATCTTTCGCTAAATATATTCATGAATCAGTAGCAACCACTACAAATGAATCATGAATGTCATTGAAGGCTATAGGAGGTGTACAACAGTAAGCATCCGCAATTGTTCACCGTTCTGACTTTCGTCTCTAGAAAAGGCCTTTTTTGGCATTATAGAAAGCATTAGAAGTAAAATTATTTGTGTTGTGTAATTGTGCCATTCCAGCTAGTGGCGTAGCCATGGTCGCCGGTCGGCCATTTTTGTGTATGAAACGGGATCCGACTACTCTGTAGAAATTCGCATCATAGAGCTGGCAAAAGTTTCGAGCGGAGCATAGAGCACGAATCTGTAGTTATTTAACATGAATAAAGTGTATGTTTTGTAAGCGCAGTAACAGCGTGCGTATTTTTAATTAATTTATGTTCGATGCTTATGCTTATAATTTAGGCCTGCAGCCTATGGACACCCTCTACTGTTGTTCAACACCTATAGAGGGTTCCGCAATTTTTCATATTACCACAATGCAACGACACGGCCATGACGGATACAGAAACCAGTTCAGGCATGGTACAAGTACATTGAGCAACGCACCTCTGCTCACTTTATATTCGCCTATTAAGCAAATGCATCACAACGCCGCTCTCCTGGCGGTGTTGTCAACTGCAGCAATCGGTATCAGAGAGAGCCACACAGCTTTTTTAGGCTGCCTAGCGTGGTCACAACACAATGTAAAGTGACGAGAGGACCAGGCGGACCACAGATTCTTGGAGCATTTTCAATAAAAAAGCAATGCTGAATAAACACGAAATGTATTTACTACCAATGTCTTAATGTTTCTCTACTCTCTTTCGCCTAGTATTGCCGATAATTACCTGTAAATGCCGGTCAAATGCTCCTCTGCAACACACAGATACACCGCACGCACGGCGCACGCCGCTACACATTTACACTTGTAATTTTATATACATAATGCTATATCGCCGGTATCCAGTAGGCAGCTGTTTGAGTGGGGGTGATGATTTTCTCTTGCACGTGCAGCATACTCTTCATAAATAGCACCGAGGCAACATGTGAACAGAATTCACCAAGCCCGGCTTTACAATTACAGTGTGCTGACATGATGCCTGTCCCATTTATCTCATCGTGACTCATGCACGGATAGAGAGATGGTATAATCAGAGACTGGGAGTGCATAACACGTGCTCGGATAACGTAGATGGGACTCTCACTGTTCACATGATAGATGTAGACTGATACACTACTAACCCAACCGCAGAACAGTCGATCGTAGGCATCCAGGCTTTTGTGGTCTAAAAGTCCTTGAGAGTATAAAATGGACTCGCTAGAATGTTAGGTAGTCAATTCACGAGATCCAAATAAGTACGTGATGGGCACAAGTTGTGGTCCTCGCTCCATTCTCGTACGGGTGTCGATTCCCAATTCACGCAATTTTCTCGAGATAGCGTGCTTTGGCTACGTGTCTAGTGAATCAAAGTACTTGTCCATACTACGTACACTTCAGAGATCTTCAGACAGTTGGCAAATGTGCATACACCAGATGTTATAAAACGCTGTGTTTGATAGCTATATGCAGTAAAATCGGTGAAATTTCTGAACACTTGCGATGTAAACAAACTCAAGTCCATGAACATATGTGTTGCGTGCAATCTCGCGACGCTAATAAGCCCTGCGAAACCTGACCTGTGTAATCTCATTGAACTCTAGCGGAGCACCCTAACCACGTTTAAACCTGTCCTGAAAAATCGCGGATCCACCTACTACTAATATCTATTGCAATAATAACACTATAATATAGCTAATGAAAATCGGTTGATTGTGCAAATCAGCAGATTATATAGACTGGTACTCGCTCCCACCTCTCGGCTTAGTTACTCAATGGATGCATGGACCCATCGAGTAACTAAGCCGAGAGTGGAGCAGTACCAGTCTACAGATTACACGACACACATGTTCGCTCTGTTTGTAACCAGTATGGCCGGCGGCACGGGATTGTAGGTAATATTGCTATTTTTAGTCCAAGTCGTGGAACCCTCTATAGCAGTGGTGGGCAAACTTTACAAAGTGAGGGCCGCATCAGTGGCCATGAAAAGTCAAAGGGCCGCACTGTTTAAAATCTGGCAGTGCGCTCTAAAATAATACGTGCGTTTCGCCTCAAGGCGCCATCTCTGACCGTAATTAGCTGAAATGGCGTTGCGAGCGAACCAGAGACAATAGAACACTAATCTGTATGACACTGAAAAAGTCAGCCTCGGTTCAAGCACAAACATGTTGACTTTCACACAAATTTATTGATTTAAAAAAAAAAAAAATTTCATTTATTTTTATTTTATTTTTTTATTTGCTGCAGGCTTCCGCGGGCCGCCACAGAACCCCGTAGAGGGCGCGCATGCGCCCGCAGGCACAGTTTGCCCCCCTGCTCTATAGACTTTCATACAATTTTTAAATTACTCACAGGTCAGCAAATGAAGAAATACCAGGTACAGCTTCACTGAAGTTGAGGGCACCAATTCTTCTGTGAGAACACAGCTCCAAAGAATGGCCTTTAAGAGCACTGCAATAGTTGCTTCTAAGAAGAGGTCAGCCTGGTAACAAAACAAAGGTGTGACTTATAATCAGCAGTTTTTAATTAAAGAAATATTCACAACATAGGAATATGAATATATGGACACAATACGGCTTTAATTGTCCACATCATGACTACATTAAATTCATAACTGCATTTTATATATATATATATATATATATATATATATATATATATATATATATATATATACATATATTTCTTTCCCAAAATAATTTATGAAATCAATGTAAAACACTGAAAACAGCAATTGACATTAAGCAGTACATCACAAGAAATACCTTCTTAAATTTCTACTCACCTGATAGAAATACACAAGCCAGTCTGAGTAGATAGTTGCCATTGTAACAGACTGGAATAGATTTGGGTGACACTCTAGCATCATGTTTATCACTGCAGGCAGCTTGTTACCATGGAGATGGCTAAGGAAGTAACCCCACCTACAAACAGTCCTGTTGTTCGCTGAAAAATTGAGATAGATGTAGAGAGACCGAGACATACAGAGACATTAGAGACAAAAAGCAGATATAAGAAAGAAAGATAAGTATATATATATAGAGAGATCGGATAGATAGATAGATAGATAGATAGATAGATAGATAGATAGATAGATAGATAGATAACTTCATTAACTCAAATAACTCAAAGGAATAATAGGAACATTGATTATGCAATGTTGACGAATGCTAGAGTAACTGCACCTGTGTTAATAATACTAAGTCACCTTATAGCCAAACGGTATTAGTTTGTCCATATCGTGGCTGGTTACTAAGAAATGTCTAATTGAAATCTGCGAGTCCAAAAATCTGTTGTTACAGTTTCAAACCGCTCGCCCGAAGCGTGTGTGATACAGATTTATAGTGCACCGTACATTTTCGCAGCATGCTCGGCCGTACGCAATGCTACATCAGTGATTTCGTAAACATGTACGCTCGTGATAAGGAACTTTTTGTCAGGGATGTCCACGTGCGTCTGTGATTAGTACATGTGTTTTACTCTATTTCCATGTTTAGTCCATGGCCGTGGTTACACCGCTGACACCTCCGTTTCATCTGGCGTCCAATACATACAGGCGGCACAAATGTTTATGTCATCGCTTGACTCCTGGATGACATTTACGGCACGTAAATGATACGTTGATACATATCAACAACCAATTTCAAGTCTTGTTTGTAATGTAACCAGCAGTGATATTGGACAAACTAATACGCGTTTGGCTATAAGGTAATGTACTTATTAACTACACAAGGTGCCAGTTACTCTAGCATTCGTCAACATTGCATAATCAATGGACCTATTATTCCTTTAATGATGCTGTTTAAAAGTAACTATATTTGGGCGAACAGTAACTCAAAGTCATTCATGCCATAATACAATATATTTAATTCAACAAGTACCAATATTGCCAATAGAACACAAAAGGTGCACTCACATATCTGTGGACTTATTGTAGAGGTCAACTATAGGTGAGAATATCCAGTCATGAGGTAAAATGGTATCAAATGCTTGCTGCTGGATCTGACTTGTCACAGCAAAAGGCAGTAGCTCTGCATGGCATCTGTACGAGCAATTTCCAAAATAATATTGCTCATAATTTTATATCATCACTACACTCAATATCATACCTCCTAATTCATTAAGAAGAATAGGTAAGTTAGACTGGTAGATAGTAGAACAGTACAACTCTAAAAGGTTTAGAACCATGGTAGAATTAGTAAAAAGATGAATAATTATGCATACTGAAGAAATATGAACCATGATCAGAGTTTATACGTATCTGTATTTTTGTCTCACATGGGATACCTTGATTTTTCAGCAAGTTTCCCCAAAGCTGATGCTGCCTGCATGTATGTTCCTCGAATCTTAGCCACGTGGTCAAGTGCCTCACGAAGAAGCAGCTGTGATGACGCTTCTAATTCAAACAGTGCTGCTCCCTGTAGCGAATTCTGGTCAACCAACTTCAGCTTTTCGACATCGCCCGCAATAATGTCCGAGTCCATCAATATCGCTCTGTAGAATAGAACAACGAACCATAGAAACAGAAGACAAAAGTCTGCCCCAGCTATTGCTCCTCTTGTTTGCATATAATTAACATACCTTATTAGTTCAGGATTAAATATCACAGATGACAGAAGACTATAGGCATAGTGCTCATCCCCAGTCAGCAGGTTGGCAAGTACCCTTAGCGCCACCTGGTGGTCCACTCTGGCATGAGCGATGGACTTTAAAAAACAGACAACACAATGCATATAGCCATTTCTGTAAACAATCACTCAGTTTGTATATAAGCCTGCTACACACAAGCCTTTACAATGGAGTATGCACAAAAATAAGATTTGTTCCCATATCAAGAATCGAAAATTGCAAATTAAGTGAAAGTTTTACGTGGTATTGTTATAAGTACACATACCTGCTTAGAACTAAGTCTGACCAAATAATATAGCAAGTGAGTCTCATGCCTAGAGAACCAGCCCCATGTTGAGCTTTGGTGCGTTGTCCTGGCTACATGTTGCAAATATGATACCACGTGATCGCACTCAAGCACACTGGTAAACAACTGTTAAAGAAAAAGACCACTTAAAATAAGAAACACATTTTACCATGAAAAATTATACAGACACCAGAAAACAGCAATGAATACCCAACAGTTATTGTGCCGCTAATGCTGCACGGCTGAACGTAAGAAGAAACGAAACGATTAACCAGAAGCTGAAAAATTGCTGAAGTTTCAAGAATCTACCTATACTATTACATAGAGCAATACCTGAGTGTTCAGGCCATGGTGCAAGTTTGAGAATGTGTCAATCATCCTCAGGTACGATGTTATCACAGCATATGGTGTCTTGCTTCTAATTACTGGGCAGAGTATTACATCGCGAGAACAGTGCAGTGTGGGGAGACTATCACTTTCCACATGCTTTGTGTCAATGACTTTTTCACAGAATGCCGTAAAGGTTCTGAAATAACAGTCACACAGTGCGATAGTTTTCTACCTATGCACAGAATCTTGGCCAATCTAGTTGTAAGATTTGTAACTGTAGCTGTATATTGCTATATCGTAATAGTTACATACCCATGACTTTTGCTTGTACAACTTGAATACGCTGATGGGTACTAAATATAATTTTGCATAAAGGGTGCAGAAATGCTATTGCAGTCTTCAGAAATGCTATAGAAATGCAATGCAATTCAGAAATGCTATTGCAGAAATGCTAATAGATTTCTATACATACCAACACTGAAATCAGCTTTATAATAATATTTTTATGTAACCAAGCAAAGTAAAGTTAACTAGAATTAATAGGGTATAATAAAATATATTAAATACAGTTGGAGACATTGTTTATATTACTAATTACACTGCCACACATGCTGGAAATTTTTTTAATTTAATTATTTATTGGCAATATAGGTACAATGCACATGTACTAACACAGTGTATACAAACCCTAATTTACTCAATGCTTTCTGGAAACTGTCGCAGGTCGAAAAATGAAGGAGCAATTCACTACAGAGTGTATCTACATGTTCCAAGCAGTCCACAGCATTATATTCTGACTGAAAAACAAAGTAAAAAAGATAAGATATGCAACTGGAAAAGCCATTAAATGGAACAGCTTACAGCATTAAAACTAAAAGCATTGCTTAACATTCACAAATATGTTTGGAATATCAAATTATCAGAAAAACTACAAGAATAAGCAATTGCTTAAACAAACATAGTGAACCTTATATTTGGATTCTATGATCAATACCTGAGATTTAAATTTGTTGTAGTAGGTTGCCAAGAAATTCATGCAAGCTGAAACCAACTCAGTATAGCACTCTTCAATATCTAGTATCTGCATCCACCTGCCCAGCAACAATTTTAGACATGTCTCAATTGGCTGCACTAAACTCATAACATGACTCCAACGGACTGCAGGTGGCGCTAGCTGGTCACCAGCCTCGTTCGGTCTAGAATACAAGGGAGAAAAAATTACTGTAAAGGACCCGTGAAAAGCTTTCATCACAATGGCAATAAAATGAAAAACTCCATAAAAACAACCAAAAGTACCAGTAAGTCATTGTAGTCTTGTAAATAATCATAGTTCAATTAAAAAGAATGTTGTATGTAGAAAAATAGTACCTCATAGACAGTCGATCTAATGAATCTTTTCTGGTTGCTGCCACACTAGTGACACTCTCTAGCAACTTGACGATTAGTGTTAGGCGCTGCGAGTGTGCAGGTGTCACGACACCTTGCTGGTATAACGACAGAATGCGCCGTATGTTCTCCATCAGTAGAGGATACAGTTCTCTGAAAAGAACGAACAAGGATTTCTCCTTCTGAGATGACCACTAGTTACACAATCAATCGCTCAAAAACCACAAGTGAACCACATTGTTACGCACATCTAAGCCGACTACAAGTTTACTTGTGCTTTCTGTTGAACATCACAGACTTACAGGAACTCGTCGCAGGCATGTCCGTACGTAACACAGACAATCCACAACCTCAGCGCTTCGTTGCTTAGCACAAATGCGTCGCTGGCGTCGGGTAGCAGTTCACTTGGCTCCACGGTGACGTAACATGTGACAATGTTCATCACTCGATGACGGGCCAACATGGTTGACGCAGCATACCGGCCAGACATGCAGATGACTCTGAGCAGCTTTAATGCTCGAGACAATGGCATGGTGCCACCTGGTGGTCAGGAATGAATTAACTTCATGCGATATTAAGATACGCTACATACATCCTCATTTCCTAGTTGTATGTGTATAGTCTTCTATGTTCCTTGTATATCACAAACACGTTACCCCCATGAAATAATGAGTACACATGGTATGAGCGGTTTTGTGTTAGACAAAAGGGAGGAATGAAGAATTTACTAACCTATGCCACATGAAACTATAGGTAGGTATTTATCTAGAATGATATCTAAAAGTCCAGGACAGTATAAAATCTGCTGTGCTGCCTCAGAGGAGTGGCGCGCCACGCGAATAAGCAGGTCCAGTAATTTCTGAGTGGTACTTTCATCTGCTTCGCACTTGTACAGTATATATCGCAGCCTCGGCAGTAGAAACATCTTCAGCAGGCCCTGCAACACAGAGAGGAACTATTATTATTACCTGACATCATGCAAACAAGTTAATCACCTCTATGACAATATTACATGCCATCTTGCTACCAAAGGTAACATTACAAAGGTTGAAAAGTTTGATGATGACGAGATGATAAGAAGAAGAAATAATGAAGTGATTTCAATTCCGTATGTACCCTGATTTGTGTGGAGTAATTGGTTAGGATAAAGAACCGAACTGTAGATGCAAGGAAATATGGTTATGATAAATGGCTATATCTTGTAAGACTGCGAAAGCTCTCACTTTGATCAGGTCATGTTTCACTAACTCAGCGTCGGTGAGTGGACCATTCTCTTCCTCCTCTTTCACCCTCTTTTCTTTCACTTGCTCCTCTGAAACACTCATTCTTGGTGTTTCGGTGCCTCGGTGCCATGCAAATACCCGGTCAAGACACACCTGCGAGAAAAACCAGTGTTTTACGTTCAAAAGAACAATTTTTTAAAGTGATTTATTATTAGTAACGTTGATGTACAAATATGAATAATAACGTATAAATAAACGTATAAATAATGTTGAATTCAAAGTAATGTTGATGCACATATTGACTGAAGCATCATCCGAAACCCGACCATATTAGCTACCTCATCAGATGGGGGCGCTAGTAGTTCGGCGAGTGCTTGCACAGAAGCACTCAGAACAGGCAGGGCAGGATCGTCAAGGGAGAATCTCAGTAGGAAGATCAGCCCTGCATCAAGAAGCTGAGGAATGACGGGCTGCGACAGGTAGCCATCATACATTCCGCAGTGTGCCTGGAACATGCCACCAGCGAGCACCTTGTTAGCAGTAATGAACTAACATCGGCAAGGCCACCCTGCATTCAAAACTATCGCTCTCGCACGCATTAGAACAGTGTGCAACCACAAGATTGTCAGCTCTACACATAAAAATACCTATAGAATATCTATCTAAATAATGTTAACCCATAGGTTTGAAAACAATTCCAATAATTGGGTTATGATTTCTTTTGAATGGCTAAGAACAATTTTAAGGTTTATATCGAGCTAGTATAATTATCTTCAAAGAAAAGCAATTAAATTACATGAACAAGACTGACCAGGTTCAGAACTTTGGTGATTGTCTGCAATGCGATTACTCTCTGCTGCAGGATTGTACTTCGACTGAGATGCATGAGCTCATCCAGTGTATAGCCTGCCACCTGTCAGAAATGAGAAGGTTAACTCACAACTAAATTTCTTGATTCCAGAAACTCAACTTCCATGTCATAGATTAAATCAATGCCACTAATGTCACATAGAGTCAATAGTTACATGATGTGACTAACATAACACAGCATGAGACAGAAAGGGACAGGCAGAGAAGAGGAGGGGGAGAAGGGAGGGAGTAAGAGAGAGTGAGAGAGGAGGAGAGAGGAGAGAGGGAGGGAGGGAGAGAGAGAGAACCACACCCTTACAACATTCCCTCACCCACTCTAACACACTCTCTCGCCCTCCCTTAATCTGTGTATGAGCACACATTTACCAATGCGTGTCCATACATTTCCTACTACGACACTATCGGTATCAATAACAAATAATTTCCTTAATAACTACTAATTTCCTAAAAAAGGAAGGCGAGAGAGCGAAAGAGAGGAATGGAGGTAGGATGAAAGATACATTGAATACTGGTTAACCTCAGGTTCATCTCCATGGTGATGAAGGCCTCGGGATACTGGAATCTCTTCACTTCTTGGAACCAGCATGCCCTCAAAATCAAATCGTGCTGGGCAGTTGATCTGAAGCATGCACCAAATACACACATACAAGACCTGGTTATATTTTTAAATATAAAATTGTTATATTTATACTCTTATATAGTAGTAGCACTGGAACACTAAGGAATTCCATGTTTTGCATTTAGTTAGTTATTCACTTTGAATAAAATATAATTGAATAATTGGTATGTGCTAGAACTAAAAACACGTTTTAACTGAATGTGTTGTCAACACTCTCCATATATAACATACTACCATATCATTAAAAAAAGGCTTTACTCCTTATGTGGAAAATTCCTAAATACTTACTACTTACATACTACAAACTTCCATATTAACTATGTTGAATAACTAATTAATTAATTGCCATATTGAATAATTACAGTGCATGATAACTGTACCTTGTTTTTGTCAACTGGTGGAAGCTCCTTCAACCATGCCATTTTGTCATACTCAATTTTGTTCATGTTCAGCCACTCCTTCTTCGGTTTTACAAGCAGCTCCGATTCATCTAGCAAATAAATACTTCCATAATAATATGCTAGCCATCAAGACCTACCTTACTAAATTTTATCTTTCGGTACCATAGTAAATAGCTTACACTGCAGTACAACTTCACTATAAAATGCCCCAATACGAATTTGCATATAGTGCATTCATAACTCAGCTCCTTTTTCTCCTCGTTTAATCATCTCTTTATTTATTTTTTACATGTATTTAGCAGGGTGGTCCACAACCTAAAATTCAAACATGTGTCACTGGGAACTTTAGAGGAGTACTTAAGATATTATTTTAAACGATGTACGCCACGAGTGCGAAGCGCGAAGTCACTTGCGGCCGGGGCGAGTCATGAGTGATGAGTCATTTTTCATTGTTCAATTAATACTAGTGTGAATGTAACAAGTAAAATGTTATAAAGAAATGTGTGCAAAAAATGCAAATAAATATATACTATAAGTTATAGTATATTTATTTGCATTTTTCACCCCGGCGTCCAATACGAATTAATGTGGACATTAAATATGAATTGTGTCCACCCCGGCCTGCGATAAACGTGGGTCTAACTTGTATTGTACGTGGCGTATTGTATTGTATTGTATTGGCATAACGTATTGTATTGTATTGTATTATATTGTATTGGCGTAACGTATTGTATTGTATTGGATTGGCGTAACGTATTGTATTGTATTGTATTGGCGTAACGTGTAACTTGTATTGGCCGATCGGGCAACTGTAGTACATACGCACGTGAAACAGTGTATTACGGCTAGCGCAAATAGTGGAGTGTCTACGAGCGAGGATCGATTATTTATAGTACAATGTGAACCATGAGTGCGAAGCGCGAAATCTCTTGCGGCCGGGGTCCAGGGCCCGCGTAAGGGCCCTGGATGCTGCTCAGGGGGTTTGAGAAAGCGGTCCGCGAGGCACGCGTGTATATGCACAGTCGACGCTGGCTGCTGGCAGGGGCTGCATTGATTGAAGTGTGGGGGGGGGGCCACGATTGGTTCAGCGTGGTACTAATCACTACTAAAATGTAGGGGGTGGGGCATTACTGGACTAAAGAGAGACGACAGTAAAACTCTTTCCTGGAATTGAGGAAAAAGCTACAATCGGGAATGATACACGTGTGTGCCGGCACGCAAAAATAAACGTGTGAATTTCATTACGATTTTCCATGAATTACCGTTATATAATCCTATGGGTCGTTGGTCCTACGGATCTACGTAGGCACGTGCGTAGGCACACCTGCACACACACACACACACATAGGCATGCACGCACGCGCACAGGCACGCACGCAGGCACACGCAAGCACGCGCGCAGGCACACACCCAGGCACGCGTACAGGCACGCATACAGGCACGCGCGCATGAATCAGAGCATGTCACTTAGTCAAGTGGTTGTCAATGATGGCCCAGCAGGCGACGCTTTTCAAGTTTGGCCTGACGTCGGCGGGTAAGAAAATTGAAAATGAAAGAAAAAGTCAGGTGGAAAACAAACAAAAATATGAACAGAAGAGAAAATGGGTTAAACTACACATAATACAATATCGAATTTTCGAGCAAGTGAGATTGACATTCGGGCAAGTGAAAATTCAACCCAACTTGCCCGAATGGGCAAGTAGGTTGAAAAATTAATGTCAGGCCCTGCATACCCCATCTATGTCCTGGACCCAGAGTTATGTCTCTGGGTTCGGTCTGCACAGCCGTTTCAGCTGATTATGGTCCATATATGGCGCCCTTGAGGCGAAAAGCACACAGCCAATCCGCTTCCTCTCCTTGTTATATTTAGCTGCTTGGATCTCGTAAGCCGTATGCGGCGTGCACTGAGTTGTGTTGTTCAGTTGTATTTTTATTGCCACGCAAAACACTGTGAGTGTGAGATTCTGCCTAAAATCTTTAAACATTGCATTTGGTATAGACTCTCAGGAAATTATATGAACTTCTTCTTAGTTTAGGAACTTTAGCTAGGGAAGGGCACCGACGGCAGTTCCATAAAAGGGCACAGCAGTGGACTGCCGTCGGTGATGTGGGATTTTCAGGGGCAGTACGGCATGTGAGGAAGGCACCGACGGCAGTCGCCGCGGTGCCGTCGGTTACGGCGAGGGTTGCTACAATGGATAAATCACAAGTATACACTTTTGTGGAATCGCTAATTAATTCAGTTATTACACTTGCCTAATTCTGGAACGTCATGTTTCCCGGCCCCAGTTGTTTCCACTTTCTCATCCGTGCCTGCTCGACTCCCGCCAGCTACTGCCTTCATCGCCTCAAGAAGCTCCTCGGCACGTTTACTGGCTGATGGGGGGCGTACTGGTTCCATTACATTGGTTGCCATGGAAACATCACTAGGTTTCCGTCGAGTCAATAAAAAACCCAATATCTTTGGATCTAATAGGAAGATCATAAACATACGCAAATAATGGCCGAATCAGTAGTTTTGACGTGTTAAATCCCCTGTAAATATTAACAAAATTATATATGCAATGGACATGACGAATTCCAAGGTAATATGGTTAGGATTTAACATAATAAACAGAAATGTTAGTTAAATATATTAAAGTTTGAAGATTACACAGCGCATGAAAAATATATACCTATTGTGGCAGCAAGTTTTTCCTGTTCCTGGAGAATCTCCTTATTTGACATTGCTGCAAGCTTACTGACATTCTCTTCGTGTATCGATTGGATTGCTACTTTTCCAAATGCTGGGCCCAGCCCAGATCCCTCTATGATGCAACTGTTAGAACCTGAATCAAAGTGTAACAAATCGTTAGTGTTGTAATCAATTAACTGCACATACACCAATCAGTCATACACAAGTAAGCCTTTTCATTTATATACAGTAAATAGCATGTATTTACATGACATGACTAATTAACGAATTTAACAACGATCCAACTGATTTGTACAACATGCAAGCCTACTCTTGAAGCAATGCTTTACTATATAGCCCAAATTCATTAACACTATCGAGACAGAGGTTTAAAAAACCACCTAGAGCTGTCTCGACCTCCTCTACTGCCATCCGGTGTTTTTCTATCTTCTCATTTGCGTTCCTCTCATGTGTCGCTGACACAGGAGATGAAGACGGCTGTCGCTTCATGTCATGATCTTCCTGACCCAGCACTATATCAGGCTTTGATGCACTGAAGAATGTTGGATTTGATTTTTGAAGCTGTTGAGAAAATAGGCTTTGTCTCTTGCCTGGCTGGCCGAGAGGCAGATCTTTATCAACTACACCCCTGTGTTGTGCCACTGGAAAGCCCTGCCTGTTTGGAAGGGGCAGTGAAACACGGCTTGCTCCAACATCCCGTTCCTGTGATACAAATTGCAAATATAATAGCCTCACATTTTATCAGGAGTCTACCGATATATATATTGATAGACTCCTGATTTTATCAGTAATCGCAGGAACGTGTGTATTAAGCACATCAACTCATTTTACGTGAGCACGGATATGTTCATGGCAACATGGAATGGACATTGTGCATATTGATATTTGTAGCTGCCTTAGACATTACCACTATAAATCATTAGGCTACCATTGTGTATATTACATTACCTACATGACTGCAAAAATAACCTATAATAATTTCACTGATAATTACAAATAAATCACAATGGTATGTTCATTTAAAGCTGGAATTGATAATTAACATAATATAAGTACTTACTATTATCTTAGACAGGACTGCCGTCAAATGAGTATCATGCTCTGCAAAAATGAAATAAAAATATCTAACCAAAATTGTGCAGTATTAGTGTATACGTATTCTACCAAATGACTTGTTTTATATATTATTAGCATAACGGTATTCACACATCTAATTGTCACTGGTGAGAACTAACCATCTAGCAGAGCTTCTGTGTCCATTTCCTCATCAGCAAACTTTACATTCTTTCTTTCTTTAAACTTTGACTTCTTCCGGTCTGGCTCCTCTCCTGGCACTATAAGTATACGTATAATATAATGAATATTACATTTCTACTTTCAATATGAATATGCATTGTAAGGTATACATATACGAAATTATAATGTATGAAACAAAATACTGATACCAAAACGAAAAACTAGTCTACTATAAACAAATACTACTATTACTAGTTTTACCAAGATAACAGGTTAACAACTTTATCCGTTTATGGCCAATATTTGTTCATCTAACACAGATGTCAGATGACATGGACAACACTCCATGATTTAGGTTTATGGATATTCTGACCACAATTCATTTTCGCAATGTGCGACATGTGCCAATGTGGACAGCTCTTATCATTATAACCTTGGGCCATATCATGATTTTTGCTATCTAGTACTAGTACTAGTAGTAGTACTATTTAGTACTGCTGAGAGGGTCTATGTCTGCCGGAACGTACCCTGGGTACGGTCCGGTATACCGGAGTGTACCCTGGTACCAGAGCATATAAATCCACATGATTTATATGCTCTGTTGGTACTATCTAATATGCCAGACCGTACCTCGCCTACTCCACTAACGAGTTTAGGGGGTCGCCTATGCCTACTCCCTAAGTTCTAACCCTAACCCTAACCCTAACCATATCACTATCAGATAGTTACCAGGGTATGTTCCGGCAGTACCTTGGAAGACATAGACCCTATGAGCCTTAGTACTAGTAGTACTAGTAGTAGACTAGGCCTAGATACAATTAATGTAAACCAAAGTAAAACACAGGATAAGGTTACAATGCGAGCCTATCTTTTTCTGTGGAGGAACCCCTGAGTGAATCACTCAGGGCGGTTTGCTGGTGCGTTTTCAGAGACTAGAACTTCCAAACTGGGTTTATTCTCAACATTAACCTTTCTCCGCTATCCCGGAACTTACTATGTATCACAATACTCTGTATTAAACTAATATAACCTGTTACAAAAATTCGAAGCGACGAGCGGCGGATATTTCGAGCGCCATTTCTGGTGACCTGTGACGCTGGCTTTCCCAATGTACATAGAGATCGGCAAACTTCGGTTTGAAGCGCGGATTCACCGACCAATTGAAGGGCTCGCAGCGCACTAAAGTTGACCAAAGTTTGCCGATCGCTATGCGCATTGGGAATGCGTACGTCACAGGTCAACAGAAATGGCGCTCGAAATATCTGCCGCTCGTCGCTTCGAATTTTTGCAACAGGTTATATTAGTTTAATACAGAGTATTGTGATACATAGTAAGTTCCAGGATAGCGGAGAAAGGTTCGTGTTGAGAATAAACCCAGTTTGGAAGTTCTAGTCTCTGAAAATGCACCAGCAAACCTCCCCGAGTGATTCACTCAGGGGTTCCTCCACAGAAAAGGATAGGCTTGCGTTGTAACCCTATCCTGTGTTTGGGTTACATTATTGTATCTAGACTAAGCCTAGATACAATAATGTAACCAAAACCCAAGAGGATAGGGTTACAAAGTGTCCCTATCCTTTTCTGCGGAAGAATGCCCGAGTGAATCACTCGGGCCGGTTTGCTGGTGCGTTTTCAGAGACTAGGACTTCCAAACTGGGGTTATTTTCAACACAAACCTTTCTCCGCTATCCTGGAACTTACTATGTATCGCAATACTCTGTATTAAACTAATATAACCTGTTACAAAAATTCGAAGTGACGAGCGGCGGATATACTGAGCGCCATTTCTGTTGACCTGTGACGTACTTCGGTTTGAAGAGCGGATTCACCGACCAATCGGAGGGCGCTGAGTTTGCCGATCGCTATGCGCATTGGGAAATGCGTACGTCACAGGTCAACAGAAATGGCGCTCAGTATATTCGCCGGTCGTCACTTCGAATTTTTGTAACAGGTTATATTAGTTTAATACAGAGTATTGCGATACATAGTAAGTTCCCAGATAGCGGAGAAAGGTTTGTGTTGAGAATAAACCCAGTTTGGAAGTTCTAGTCTCTGAAAACGCACCAGCAAACCGGCCCGAGTGATTCACTCGGGCATTCCTCCGCAGAAAAGGATAGGGAGACTTTGTAACCCTATCCTCTTGGGTTGGGTTACATTATTGTATCTAGACTAAGCCTAGCCACAAGTTCCCTTCTCGCTTAACACTACGTTGGCGAGAGGGTCACAAGCCGACGCAATAGAATATTGTTCGGCATGACGTGCGCTGCTAATAAACCCTAGCGCAAAGGGAGGGGCGCTCGCGAGCGTTCGCTCTCCTGAACGCGCCTCAGGTGTCCGATGCTCGGACGAATATCCACGTCGTAAGTAATCGTCTGCTTTTGGATTCACCTGGGGTATTGACAATGACATCCATAGATACAACATCGTGATCGACTGGCCTATTCAGACCAGAACATTTGGCAGGTGTTGTGTCTTTCTCTCCCTTTCCTGCTAGAGATTTCCTTTTAACAACAACCGCTGATGGCTTGCTCTTTGCAGCAAGGAACTCTTTTTGGAATCGGAGTAAGTCTTCTTCGGTCTCACCTCTTTGTAGCCGTTCTGCCATTTTTTAACAGTCACTGCAACTAGCAGACCTTCAAATAGCTATGTCATGCAATGCAAACATTACCAAAGATATCTAGTACAAAAGAGTACTAGTTGCAGTGCAGTAATTGTACAATTTGTCACAAACAGCATTAGTTTCATTCTGTTCACAGCCAATGATCATGTTTGATAATGCCGCCTTGTGTTTCTCCCGATAGAGGGCAGCAAAAGAAGCAAGAAAAGGTCGGTACATAAAAAAACCGGAATGCCCCATAAAGGACCTAATCCAGTCAGCCACGGACATAGAGTTATATATTAGACCCCGAGTTATATATTATATATATTAATACAACTCTATGGCCACGGATGCAACAGTTTAGGTCTTACATCGTGTTACACATACATGTTTAATTAAAATTAATACAGATTTTACGTAAAACTAAATTAGCAATTTTTTCCCTAAGTTTTATACATTAATTTTCTGTAGCCTACTCAGCTACGGCACAGAACAGTTACGTTTATTTCGGTCCGTTCCGGTATTTTGATATACCCAGGGATGGCAGCGTCCATGCCTTAACGATTATTATAGTTCGGTCATCATAAATGGTAAACACCGGTCGATTTATGCGGTTTATAATATCCGTGTCAGCTTAACAATATTGTTGTATTATTGCATCGAACAATCGATTAATTGCAATACTATTGCCAATAGGGTTTGGCATGATAGCAATCCAACAATGGGAAAGTAAATTGTATAAACCGATATGGCGATAACAATCGCCGATACCGCGATAGCGGATAGGGCCTAGTTCGCTGATTGCGCATATTTCCCATTCGCAATCATTAGCGCATTAGCTGTCGATAGTTATATTATGCTTAAAACATTACAACCGGTTCACAGGCACTTAGAACGTCTCAATAAAATACAAAAATGTAAACACGAAATGTATTTAGTAATAGTATAATTTACTACCAAAGTCTTATTCTTAATCTTAATGTTTTTCTACTCTATTTCGCCTATAATCACCTGTAAATGCCTAACCTGTATAATATAGTCATTAGGCCTATGTTCCGCACGGCTACACTAATGCATGTAAGCGAGCGCCGCGCTAGCAGTTCGCGAGCCTCGTTATCGATCGACCGAAAACGGTGTTTGACTTATGGTGGGGAATCGGATTAGCAGCGAGCAATCGAGCGTACAGAAGTAAATACCAGTGTTGTAGTCGAGTCCGCACCCCTGAGTCCGAGTCCGCGCCACCCGAGTCCGAGTCCACACCACCCGAGTCCGAGTACGAGTCCAGTTTTGATAAAAAAAAGGGAAAAATTGGAAAAAAGCGAAAAAATCGCAACAGTGCATCGTAGACATTCGAAAGTGTATAGTCAGCCAAAAACACAGAGACACGAGTCATACGAAACGTGTCAAAATAACGGATCCATTTGTGTTTTACGAGAATGACACGGCTTGTTGAACCAAATGAGAGTGTGCTAGTACCTGCGAAGTGGTAGAAAAAGCACAAAGGGAAGAAGTGACAGCAGATTCAAACCAAAGGGACAAGAATCTTAATCGAGCCATTGAAAACGTTACAAGATTAGGCCGTGTATCTAGAAAACCTATGAGTTTTAGTTTTAAATTCTTGTAAACGGCGTGTTACAATATGTACAGTTGTGTACTATGTATGTAGTGGCCTCGACCCGAGTCCTCGAATCCGGAGGGCTCAAGTCCGAGTTCGTGTTTGAGTCCGAGTCCGAGTCATTTCACTCCGAGGCCGAGACCGAGACCAAGGAAAACGGTCTCGAGGCCGGTCTCGTGGCCAAGACCGGCCTCGAGACCTACAACACTGGTAAATAAGGCAAAACTTTGCCCCAGGCGAATACCTGATGAATGGAAACAATCTAGTAAATGGCTTTGGCACAAGCGTGCACTAATTGCAGTTATAAATTCAACTTGAATAACTTGAGAAATGACGTCAGGCAAAAGCCTGCTCGCTGATTGGACGACCTAATCACAGTCGCTGCGACCTGCTCACTCATTGGCCGGTCTGGCTCAGTCGGCAGCCACCCACTTTCATATAGAAAGGGGTTAACGCTCTGGTGAGTAGGCCCTCTAGCGGCCGTTACGATCAGGAGCGGTAATCATTAACGTTAGTAAATGCCAGTCAAATGCTCATCTGCAACGGACCTCCTAAACCGCGAAATGCTGCGAAATGACGGCCTCCTAAACCGCGAAATGACTCAAAATCATCATACATGAAATTAAATTAAATTAATTTTTTTATTAAATTAAAGTTAAATTGTTATTCTCTCTTGCCCTCGTTCTCTCTCTCTCTCTCTCTCTCTCTCTCTCTCTCTCTCTCTTGCTCTCTCTCTCTCTTTCTGTGTGTGTGTGTGAGTTTGAGTTTGTGTATGTTGCATAAATACGTCATCTCGCGTAATTTCACGTTATTTCGCGACATCGCGTCATTTAATTAATTAATGAAAAATTTATTATAATTTTTATTTAATTTAAGATAATTTAATAACAATTGAACTTTAATTTAATTAAAAAATTTATTTAATTTAATTTTATGTATGATGATTTTGAGTCATTTCGCGTTTTAGGAGGGCTTCATTTCGCGGTTTAGTAGGTCCCATCTGCAATACACACACAAGTACACCGCAATCCCGCGCTGTGCACAAACAACATGAATAAGAGAGCGATATAAGAAGAGCGAGAAAGCGAGAATAAGAACTCTCTTATTCATGTTGTTTGTGCACAGCGCGGGCGTGCGGTGTACTTGTGTGTGTGTTGCAGATGAGCATTTGACCGGCATTTACAGGTAATTATAGGCGAAATAGAGTAGAGAAACATTAAGACTTTGGTAGTAAATACATTTCGTGAGTACATTTTTGTATTTTATTGAGACGTTCCAAGTGCCTGTGAACCGGTTAGTTTATTTAACGCTAGTAAAAATACGCGTAAATCTGCCTGAAAACCATTACTGATACTTCTGCTGTTGTTGAACTTGTAAATAATTAGACTGATCCCGATCATTTACCACATGGCACATGACATAGTAGTAATTACTAGTAGTAGTAGTAGTACTACTAGTTCTCTCACTGGACACTGCACGAGTGCGTGGGTAAAACGACATTGTGCCAGTTTAGTAAATAATGTGAATCAAAACTTCTGCATATGCATAAATGCGAACATACAAGTGTTATAACAACATATAATACACAGTTTCGTATTACATCAGTCATCAGTACTGAAGGTAGTATCACAATAGCACAGTGCACACAGGCATTTGGGCTGTTTCAGTAATAAAATGATGGGAAATAAATACACAAATTGTATTTACTATCTAAGTCCTAATGTTTATATGCTCTCGATCACCTGATATTTCCATGTAAATGACATTCACATGATCTGCTGCAATACATCATTTCATTGAATGTGCACAGTGCAAACTCAAAAATGTTGTATCTATCTAGCTCTAAAAATCTACCAAGAAGGTAGCTCTAGAACTATGGCCCTCCGCTTCGCCGCAGGCCTATAGTTCTGCGGAGAGCTATAGTTCTAGAGCTACCAAGAAGGTAGATGGGCTGATATTTGTACTCAGAAGGGGGATGTCATTGTTTCTAATGTAAACAATATTGATGACTTTTGTTTTTCCAGCCATTATGACATCTATAATCAAGTTGCAGCCCATGTCTGGTGTATTTGATGAGGGTCCACTATGCTACCTGCTGCAAGTGGATGAGTTCCGGTTTTTGTTGGATTGTGGATGGGATGAAACTTGCAACATGGTTCATTTAAAAGAATTAAAAAAGTGGGTTCTATGATCATTATTACATTAGGTACTTGGAGACTATTGGTTTCCTTGTTATTATATCGCTTATTCTTATTGGTCATGGTATCACACTGCTATTATTATTCTTACACACCAGGTGTTGTTAACCATTTGTGTTTCAGACAGTTCTATTATTAGGAGAGCATAATATACAGATGTATGTGCCCACACACACACTTCATCTACTTCTACTTTTATACTGGACAGTCTGTGAGGAATAACGTCCAGGTCCACACACACACACACAGGCATTCACACATGCATGCATGCACGCACACACGCACGCGCGCGCACACATGCAGACACACACACACACAGACACACAGACACACACTCGCACGCATATATGGAGGGACACACATATTTACCTGCTAACATGCTTTCTGTTGCTATTTTCATAATAGGCACATTCATCAGATCGATGCAGTCTTGCTAACATATCCAGATCAGCTTCATATTGGTGCGTTACCATATGTGGTTGGTCACCTAGGCCTTAGCTGCCCAATTTTTGCTACCATTCCAACGTATAAAATGGGCCAGATGTTCATGTATGATTATTACCAGGTAGGGGTTAATTATTTTGTAAGAACTTCCTGCATATTGTTTTCAATTACACGGTTGCATGTGGCTATATTATTTTTTAAATGAATACAGGTTTTTAATTTTTAATATGTTGAGATGTACTATACATGCCACATTTATATACTATATATATTTGATTCACAAAACCAGCATTTATTACTGATGTAGGTTGTTGTCTTTTGAAATATTTGCATATGTCGTTATGATCTTCCGTTTTCCTTTTTTTACTAGTCTCGGCATAATACAGAAGATTTTGACTTGTTCAGTCTAGATGATGTTGATTGTGCTTTTGATAAGATTGTTCAACTCAAGTACTCACAAATTTACCCAATGAAAGGTAAGGGGGTCTTTCCTATCAGTCTATTGATGACTCTATACAATATAGATTATTACTGTTAATATATAATAAGTATCATGTCTTGAGTGTTTTTTGTGAGCTTTCAATATATTACTGTAGTAAAATTAGTAGTATGTATGAAGGCTATGACTGTTGTAGGTAAAGGTCATGGTTTGACCATAGTACCACTAGCTGCTGGACACATGATAGGAGGAACTATATGGAAAATTACCAAGGATGGAGAAGAGGATATAGTCTATGCTGTTGATTACAATCACAAAAAGGAGAGGTAAGGGTGATTTTTTGCATCATACTGACATAGGTACGCCTGCCCCTTAGAAACACACCACTAAATGTTCATCTTGTTACATCATAAACATATTATTGTTTAAAATTCATAATTATGTTGTATTAACCATCTTACAGATATTGCTATTTTTCCACCAGACCTAACATATACTTTTATTGTTGGATTCATTTAAGATATTAATGTTATACAATATGTAAGAAAGTGAATGATACTATTAAATAACAACATTTAAAAGTATAACACACTTTTTTACACATATTAAAACATTGATATCTCACATGAATCCAATAATAAAAGTTCATATTAAAATAAAGTTTTGTTCGTTAATGGACATATTACTAATTATTTTCCAATAATTACTAGTCCATACTCATCTTAAATAGGGCTGCGTATTTAATTCATCACTAGCTTTATTGCGTGTGAAAGTGATTGTTAATTTGGCATATATAATATATTTGCTTTTTTCACAGACATCTGAATGGCTGTGGCCTGGAGTCCATTGACAGGCCATCACTGTTGATCACAGATGCATTCAATGCCACCTACCAACAGTCACGGCGACGCCTAAGAGATGAACAGTTACTTAGTGAGTAATGTGGTGACTGGTTAAGTTTTATAAAATGTTTTCGCATAATGCTATCAACAAATATTTAATCCATTTCCAGTTGCATAGAAGTTCGATGAGCAGCATGATACATTGCTTAAGATTGCACTGTTGGAATTTTCAGCCAACATTCTGCAGACGATGAGAAATGATGGCAACTGTTTAGTGGTTGTGGATACAGCAGGGCGTGTGTTAGAACTGGCTCATTTATTGGTATGTGGTTGGCAACTATTCAGCACTGTTTATAGAAAAAAATATTTGGAAACAATGGTTTATTAATTGTGTGTATTCTATTATTTTCTGTAACACAGTTGAACATAATATACTGTTAGTAGTTTAATATGGATATTCATGTTTCATGCAAGATTTGTAATTATGCCTTTCTTACAATTTACTTTAGGATCAGCTTTGGCACAATGAGGATTCTGGGCTCATAGCCTACTCTCTCGCATTTGTCAATAATGTCAGCTACAATGTTGTAGAGTTTGCCAAATCCTTGGTAGAATGGATGAGTGACAAAATTATGAGGTATGCAGAATGACTGTCATATTTCTTCCAAATTGATGGGAGTCAATACTACCTTGAGATTACAATAACCAATCTACTGTTTCTTTAAAGAGTAATCTATACAGCATCATTTGCAGTAGTGGTATGCATGTTTTAATGAATGTGGTTCCTACATATTCTATCTTAGCAACACTACATTGTAGGAATTATTGAAATGTTTCTAGGAACTGCCATTCACTTGTAAGCTTCAGCTGAAGTCTTGCACAGACTTTTGTAATGTGTCAGTAGTATTAAAATCAGTGTTTTAGCAAGAAGTAGTAAATAGCAGAACATCCACCAGTATGGAACTGGTAACCTTTGATCAGGACCATCTAATTTTTAAGGATTTTATAATTGTTTATATGGTAGAAATCAAATTCATCCAAATCAGGACTGTCTGGGGTTTCAGACTCGTTTCCAAGTCTCCTAAAGGTGTATAAACTTCAACACTGTCTGTAGGTGTTGTAGACTTCTATTCTCTGCATTTCAAAACATTACTTGATAATGTGACGTCTTTTTTGTAACAAAATAATACATAGCAAGTCTGTTATTTTTGGTTTTAGGTCATTCGAAGACAAGAGAAATAATCCATTTCAGTTTAGACATGTTCAACTCTGTCACAGTCTGGCGGAGCTAGCTAAAGTTCCTGAACCCAAGGTAAAGTTACTTGAAAACTGCATCTAGCACAATCACATTTGTTTTTTTAATAGTAACAGTGGTATGTGCTTTGTATATTTATAACAGTCCCATACTATGAAAACAGAAGTTGGTTTCTCATCGCTTTCCCTAGTTGTTCTGGTAACTGTCCAGGATATATATTATCAATGTTGCACTACAGGTGGTGCTAGCAAGCGTGCCGGACCTGGAATGTGGGTTCTCCCGAGACTTATTTCTTCAGTGGTGCTCCAACCCAAAGAACTCTATTATTCTCACAAGCAGAACTTCCCCTGGTACCTGCACTCGGCAGCTGATTGACAATCCCAGCACAAAAATGCTAAACCTTGAGGTGCAAAAACCAGTTCTTAGAACACATTAGACTACATTAGATATAATAATCCATTCGATTGATAAATTAATTCACTTTTAACAACTGAACTTTGACTAATACGCAGTCTCATATTAGTTTTAATAGCTCTGAAAAGTGGGAAAAAAATCATCGGTTTATGAGCCAAACTAAATTTTATTGTAAGACACCAGAGTGTTGAATGAGATTTATGTAAATAATCACATCATATTTCTCGGGTGTTCTGTTTTTATCAAGGTGCGAAAAAGAGTAAAGTTAGAAGGAGTAGAGCTGGAAGAGTACATGCACAATGAGAAGGAACAGCAGGACATTGAAGCAAGACGAAAGGCAGAGGCACTTTTGAAAGAGTAAGCATTTAACATTGACCAACATTTAACACTAAACGTTTAATGAAAGTTTAAAACTATCAAGAAGTTGTGTAACATTATTAAAGTGAAAAAGAAATGAATAGATAGTGATTGTGTTAAAAATGTATAACTTCAGATAAAAGTGATGTCAAGATGAAAGTGTGTCAAGTAAGCATGAAGTAAAATATAGTAGCTTAATAGCTTAAAATAATATCTTCTGTTGTTATAACCTAGAGAGGAATCATCAAGTGGTGAGGAGAGTGGTGATGATGACATGGATATGGATGTAGTTACTGTCACCCAGGATACTAAGGTTTCCAAACATGATCTTCTTGTCAAAGGAGAGGTAGGATCTAACATCAGTGAAACTTTCTATCACTGGATTAGCAATAGCATTTAGCAATTTATTATATAAACCTACAAAATCATGTAAACTCATCATTAAAATGTAAACTCCAGATAATAAGCAAAGTTTATTACTTATATTAAAAGGTTTAAGAAATTAAGCAGATGTAAATCAAAGTAAAATATTATTGACAAGGGACGTCTGGTATTGGTATCATTGTGATTGAGTTTATAAAAATGCTGTTGCAGGGGAAAAGTCGTGGTGGGGGTTTCTTCAAACATGCCAAAAAGTCATACCCAATGTTTCCTGCATATGAGTGCAAGATCAAATGGGATGACTATGGCGAAATCATCAAGTAGGTGTCTGCACATCCTGGTCGTATTAACCAATCTTCTAATAGGTTCGTTTTTAAAATGCAATTATTTACAACATGAACGTTCTTTCACTAGTATAAATTGACATTCACGTGATTGAATGACATTCCATTAGGCCTCCTTTAATTTCATTGTTCTGTGTCCAGGCCTGAAGACTATATGATAGCAGACAAAGGGCCAGACATGGAAGAAAAGCTAACTAAAGAAAATGGTGATGTTGTCATAGAGGAAGAGGAACAAGGTATAGCGCTGCACTCACTTTTTTGTCACAGTAAAACATTTATGGTGTATTAGTTGAAGCAATGTTTAGCAGTGTTGATAAAATATCGTTTTATTGTTTCCCTTTTAGATATCTCGAATGTTCCAACAAAGTCTGTGAGATCTATACAGAGGTTTCCACTGAATGCGTGTGTAACGTATATAGACTTCGAGGGTAGGTCCGACGGGGAATCTTATAGGAAGATCATCTCCCAGATACGACCCCGACAACTGGTGAGTCACCTGAGACCATACCTCATGAAATATGAGGCTTCTTTTCCTTAGAGTTGACGTCTCTTGACCTTATCCTCCTCTTCCTTGCATCTATATCTTTCATTAAAGAACACGGATTTCAAATGTGGTGAGTGAAGTTATTGGCAGTCCAGTTATTAACTTTAGTACCTTGGGTAATCTTCTGATTAGGGCTCAGAAGCCAAGAAATGATACATAGCTTATATATTCATGTATGAAGTCCTATATATGTAAATGCAGGCAACATGGAATTTTCAGAATAAGAGCCTGCATAGAAATATCCAAGTGAGATCATAGATCCTATGCATAGATATAACCAGCGAGTCAGTTCTCGTTGGCGCACGTTTTTGCCAGCCTTGGCCAATAGCAGCCATGAATCCTACTACTCAGCTCAGCTTTTATGTGGTGCGCTTATTGCACGCGTTTATGCGCTAGGTTTTGGTGCATGGCACAGAGGAGGCAACACTGGCATTAGCAGATTATTGCCGCATCACACCGGGCATCGTTCAGGAGAAGGTGTTTACCCCTCGAATGCACGAGATCATCGATGCAACCACAGAAAGCCACATCTACCAGGTACTTTTCATGAGTATCATGAGAATCGCGATAATTTTTTTCTTTTGCTGAATGATTGGTCATGCACCGCAAGTATGAGCAAGCTGTGTGTTGTACTGTGACTGTCGATTGTAAGCATATTAATTCATCTTTGAGTCGATTTTAGATAATGCAAAGTTTCAATCTTTTTCACGCATTCAAGGTGAAACTGAAGGACATACTCGTCAGCCATCTTGAATTCTGCAAGACCAAGGAAACCGAGGTAGCATGGGTGGAAGGGCAGATAAACATGGCAAACAAAGTAACTGACACAAGTGCCATGGAGGAAGAGGAGATGGAAGATTCCAAGCTGAATACAGATAGCAAACATACCTCGGGTAACAAATGATAAGCGATTAGCTGCATTGTGTTTATATTTGAGCTTCATTCGTTTTTCATCTTCAACTTATTAATCGGTTAGGGAATGTGAACTAATTATTTGCTTGTGCTTTTCTTTGCTCTTTTGCTTCTTGATAAAGTTTTTTGATTGATGACGGCTGTCTCTCAGTCAACGTGCAAGTCAGCATTTTTCTTCAAGCGACTCTCGTGTTGACAGCTATTGCTCTTGGCAGTCATCATACTTACTGTTTATTTAGTGTCAAATTTCTGATGTGGATTTGCAGAACATATAATCTCATACAAAACTATTATTTAAAAATTTTGTTTGCCAGCCATTAGCAAATTGTAAGCTGTTATTCTGTTGCAGATGAGAAGATGGAAGCAGACGAAGAGATAGTTCCTATTCTCGACTCAGTCCCTATATTACAGGTATGCTGGGTATTATGCTGGTAATGGAAGATTTATGGAATTATTATGGAAGATTCACAAAAAATGGACAAAATGAACAAAAGTCGAAATGCAAGAAGGTGAACGTTGAAATGCACATTTTCTCTGTGCCTGTGAGTCAGTCGTTTGGTTGTGTTATGTAAGGACGCTACAATATGTTCAGTCCTGACACAACATGTAGTTACTACAGGAAAATTCTGGTGAAAATTCACATTCGTCGATTATCGTGAACAACACTTCCTGTATTGCAGAACTAGTACTTTAATATTTTTACATGATTGTCATGTACAATGTATGACACTATATTTTGCTCCACAAGGGTACTTATGTTCTCACTATTTGATATGTTGAGCCATTTGTAACATTGCTGATTCTATCGTAAACTTGTGTGTTTCAGATGCCAGGCCACACGGCAGTGTTCATAAACGATCTCAAGCTATCCGATTTCAAGCAGACGCTCCTACAGGCAGGGTATCAGGCCGAGTTTTCTGGTGGCGTTCTCGTTATCAACAACACGGTCGCCGTTCGCAGGGTAGGAAGTTGTCAGATGCAGCAGAATCTAACAATGGCATGGTGGCAGCATTTAATTACACTACAGCTATGTGTGAACTGCTACAATTTACACATCTGCCATGTCTGCATGTGTCAATTAATTGTATAGTTCCATTGCATAACACGTCTTGTTTAGGAACAAGGTTTAAACATAGGTACTATCATTTCTCCTCCTGAATAAATTGTTTGGTAAATGAAGAGTCTTACCAAGTACGTGCATGAATTTTCCAGAGGCAGAGATCACTGGGTCTATCCCTATCGTATCTGTTTCTTTCAGACTGAGATTGGCAAGTTTTCATTTGAAGGATGTTTGAGTGAAGAGTACTACACCATCAGAGAACTCTTTTATGACCAGTTTGCTATCATGTAATCTCAGACAATGCAACCAGTGTACACTGATGCCAATACCCATCAACTGCTTACTCTAAATTCTATAAGCAGCCGTTCGGTTCAGGTTTGACAAGATATATACTGTTATACACTGATATACACAATTATATAGATTTACTGTGTAGAGCATACAGAGGGTGTTATAGACACCTTCGGTTTGTAAGATATTATTTTCATTATAGTTCATGTAGTAAATATATAATCATGCCAAGATTTCCATATTTGTCTTGGTTTTGCTGTCTGACTTTCGGTTACATGTATATACCTTGTTATAAACTAGTATGCAGTGAACATGACCAAAATAACGCAACGCGATTTCCTCTGTACATTTTATAAATCCTAATTCAGGATTTTGTCGAGTTTAACATTCCTTTATATTTTATATATATATATAGCCTGGTGGCAGTGCTTGGCTTGCTACGAATCCCTGAACACTAACTAAATTCAATCAGACCATTTTCTTCAACAATATTATTTACTTTCCTTTTGTAATGTACAATAATCTCTCCAATAACCACATAACTATAATATCAGCTGCTGTGACTACTACAATCAGATTGACAAAATCCTCTTAAAAATGTGCAATATACCTATACCATTATCATGAACTGAAAGCTATCACTGATACAATGATCAACGCAGATGCCCATGTGACGAGAGAAATATGTAACGGCTCAAATAATATTACACAAGTTATGTATGCCATTATAACATTCTTTATATCAACTGCAAACACACAATAAATCAACAGCACACTAGCACTGTAGTTCACAAAGAGATTCGAGCATGGGCACAGAATTCTAGTTACGCATAGTTATAGTAGCAGTGGTAGTAGTAGTAGTAATAGTAGTAGCAGTAGTAGTAGTAGTAACATTACTGGTAGTGGTAGTGGTAGTAGTAGTAGTAGTAGCAACAGCAGCAGCTTGGGCAGTTTTTGTACAAAAGTAAATCGTAACCTAGTAAAGCATTATCTTTATATATTACTGCTATTTCATGTAAGCTTTTATTTTTCGTGTCATCATTTGTTTTTATTAATTTCTGCTATCATAGAATAAAGAACATACAATGAATCTGGTGTAAGCAAGAATCTACCCGTGTTTGTGACCAAATTTGGAATACTAGCAATGGTTACAAAATCGCTCAAGTTTGAACTTGGATGATGAGGTTATCAGAATTTGAGCATGATGAAAACCATTAATAATTTAGAGTCACAATATATATATATATATATATATACATGCATACGTATGTGCTATATTCTATGATGATAGCAATATGTGACAACCAAGTCAACCATTTGGTTCCCATCAAGACAGTGATTTGGACTTACATAACAGCACTTATATAATGAACTTTCCAAAATAACTATATACAAATCACCATACAAACGTTTACAGCAATATTGTACCACAGACATGAATTGGATAGGTCATACACACACACACACGTGTACATGTATGTATATATATATATATATATATAACAAACGTGAACATCATAAAATTCACAAACAAAGCAATCTCGCTACAACAAATAATTAAAATAATTCATAAACACCATTTCTAATCTGTTTGTAAAATATACGAAAGCATAATATCATTTGCAAATTATCAATTGGCATTACAGCAACTTCTTTCCTGCCTCGAACTGTGACGATACTGTTGTTCCGCTGTCTGGGATGAATTGTTTTAAGATAGTGGTGAGAATGAGAAGTGACGTGTGTAGCCCCACTGGCAGGTTGTTCTCCAGCCAAACATCCCTGTACTGCTCTATCACGGACAACAGCCTGAAAACACACACGCATAAAATAGAAGAAGGTTCCCATCTGACAAGATCTGTGCATTTGAGTCATATGTAATAATACCACTTCATAAATGTGAAGTATTGCTAGTCTAAAGATTTTCCTTTTATCCAAACTGAACAAGTGGCTCTAGAAAGTGTATACAATTAAAACGAACACAGACCTGTTGTGTAATGAAAACCAAAACCCCTGAGGATAAACGAATGCTTGTTTAGAAGACAAAAGAAAGCAATAAAAATAAAAATAAAAGGTAATCCTTGTTGACCAAGGCAATACTGCATACTTGTTAGCGAGGTCAGTCTTGGTTGTGGCTGGTATATTAGCTACTCCGACATTGATCACCTTAAACCCTGGCATCTTGTCACTGGGATTGCGCCCCATGTTTACAAGCACTCGACCAATCCTGTAAACAAATGTCACGCTTTCAGGTCAACACTATAAAGTCATGATGTTAGTACAAAATATTGACATAAAAATGTAATAAACTGCAATGAAGAACAGAAAAATTCTCCAATTGTTTACATGTTGCACTGCAAATTTTGTAAAACTTGAGAGATCACCATTTTGTATGCTTGACACCATTTAGCCTTCACAAAAGCCACACAGATAATGGTCTATTATCACTTACTTGCAAGCCAGCATCATCATCTCAGTCATAAGCTGCAATTCAGCCATCATCTGACTACTATGGCAACATTCCAACCTTGCTTTTGGAAGTGCAATTTGACATCGTCTTATATGCCTAATTGCTTTCTACATTATAAACAAACAAGAAACGATGTTTTTAGACATTTTCTCATTCGCAAACTTAAAGGGAGAGTTTACTCTAGGTTCTAGGGTTATTTTCAGCTAATTTAGGTTATAATTACGCTACATAAAAAGTTTCATGGTTCAATCACCATTAGAAATATTTTTTTTTTATGTTTTAAAACTAACAACTACAGTTTGATTACAACGACGGTGGCGCCACTCAAAGCGCACGATCTGATAAGTTGCGCAAAACCACTTTCCAGCCAAGGGCTACAGACCGAGGGTGTTTCTTATTTATTCATTTAAAAGCAAAAGGATTGTAATATCTTATAAACGACATATAGTTTTAGTTATAATATGGATAAATTTGCCCTAAAATGTATATCGTTTGGTTAAATAGCATTTAGGTATAAATATAATTGCACTTTTGTGATTAGCCCTCGGTCTGTAACGTGCAAAATAAATTGTCAAATACGCGACTTTTTCGAGGTGGCAGCACGGTCGCGGGTGTCATGGCGCCGTTCAAATTTCATAGCGTTGATGTGTAATTAATTATAACAATTAAATTAGGTATCTGGTAACAAATACGTGTGGGTATAGACGATTTGTTATACAGTAAGTACAGTTGTATGCAGTAAAATCCTAGAGGCTACTGTCCCTTTAAGCATCCCCGTTTTTCTGTAGCAGGTAGAAATTAGACATGCGGCCCCTGAAATGCCTGTAACAACTCGTCACAGTATCTAGAAATTGAGCTCACATGAAAGATGTCGCCACTCATGTTTTCAAGCAGTACACCATCAGGGTTAGCCAAGAGCTGGTACAAAATCGATCCGTTAGTCGCAGGGAGGTTGGAGGCGTCGTGGGCATCCTGGTCGCGTGACGCCCGAACCATGTACGTCTCTGCGCGACCCAATTCTATTATCGCTTGTCCGAACATCATCTCCTGATCCATGACAATGTGATGATTGATGAGAGTCGCTAGACTGGTGTGTAGGAAGTCCTACGAAAGATCAATGACAATAATTAGAGCATTTTCTCCCTCTGTGTTATACCTACAGGACGAAGGGGAAAATAGATAAATATGTCTTTAGAAATACGACCTGACATAATGCGAGACATACCCAGTGTGTTGTATAGTTCCAGCCAAGTCCGGCAAGCGCTAGAAAGCCAGTCCAGCTCAGAGTCTTATGAGTGAGGTGACCAGTTCCTGCCCAATCAGCGACTAGCATCGCTAGAGCACCTTGAGACTGGGCACATTGTGCTGCATGGTACAGATTACTGACTGATGCTTCTGGGCAACCGGCTAGGCTACAAGGGGCGAAGAGAAGGAAACATCAGTAAATTCTTTTGTCTAATAATCTTTTCGATGTCTTCTTTTAATGACTATCTGTTAGTGCATGATTGAAAGGCGCAGTGAAATGCCTAACTTAGTTTAGTTTAGTTTAGTTTAGTTAAACGTTGGTTTCAACTAAACAAAACTGTTGCCGTAGGAAGTAAAATATTTTAAAATGGGAGACAAAGATTACCTGTTCCATGCTGCTGTCCCTGCACACACCCCAAAGCTCAGTCTGTAAGATCGAGAACACTTGAGTCATGAACAAGAAACTGTAATTCTTTCACGCCATAACAGCACTAGAAATTAGATCTGTTTATATATTTACATATACATAACATACATTACATATATGCACATATTTATGCATAGTTGCTGGCATCTCTGCCTAAAAAGTCCAGTACCGTTCACTATTAATGTGCCAAAGAAACACCTCGGACAACCACCATGAGTAAGAACATGTGACTTAATGACCAAGGTGTAAGAGGACAATCTAAACCTACCCAAAATCTCGAAATGGTTTACACACAGCATGAAAGTCGTACGTGGCCTGAAACAATGCAGCGAATCAAATATCAAATCCAACTCGGTATAACACCACGTCCAGTGCTAGCACAAATAATATCCTGCAAATAATATCATTTATGATATATCTAATACCGTAATACGTCATGTAACTAGTTAAGTAATACGACCTGTATATGTATATATACAGCTATCATATACAGGGTTCTCCCCAGGAATTTTAGATGGCATGCCAGGCAATCTGAGTACCCTAATGGGTAACCTACAGGTAACCTAATGGGTTCGAAGATGTATACATCAAGCTCTGAAAATACAGCATGACTGCCTTGGGATTGTCATAATAAAAGTAACTCATATAAGTAAACACAGTTAGAAATTAAGGCATGTAGATTACACAATTCAGGCGTGTCGGAGCATTTATGGGATGAAGCAAATTAGTTTCAGCTTTGAAGGCATACATGTCGAATCTGACATGTGCTAAAGGAATAGAGAGAACCCTGATATGTATATATATATATATATATATATATATATATATATGAGATTTCACTTAAATGTATAAAAATGCGTGTGTGATGGGTATCGCGGCTGACGAGTAATACTTCTAGTACGCCACCCCTCAGCCACACCACTTGTGCTTTCTTTACCTGTTCAGTAGGCGCCCAGACACTAGCACTAAATGTCTTATCGCTCTACATACAGGTCTGCTTACGTATGACTATCATCATATAAGAAAACGTAGATGTGTGTATGTGCGTGTGTGCGCATGTGCGTGTGCGTGTGTGCGTGTGCGTGCGCCATGTATAGGTCAACATAAGATATAGCCTAGGTTTTGCAAACCTCAAATCCGTATTCAACGAGCACGAGGTCCATGGGTAGCTGCGGCAGTGCGTGGCGATAGTCGTGCAGACTGTTGGAGCACAGTGCCACCGTGTGGTGCATACAGATCGGCAGCTGTCGCCTGACATCAAGACTATCTAGATCCTCTGGATCCACAAGCACCATGGACAGACGTGGTCCGATATGCACCGAGCTGTGAAGACACACCGGGGTTATGTCTTTGTTCTCACATGTATATAATATATACCATACTTTATTAATGGGAATTAATTAGGTTAGTTTTCTTTGGACCTCTTGGATTCTAGTGAGTAATATAAAAACATACTATCTAGGTTAAATGCATATTTTCAGGGTATTAAGTAGGTATAAATAATACTACATATAACAATATAACCTCTAGATCAAGATTTATTCGAAATATATTTACCAGTAATCGTTTGCATATACAATGCTGGTAGTGCCACTTCATGGACATCCACAAGAAAAGTTGCAACTTTTTTTTACAAAAGGCTACAGATGGAGGTGTTTCCCCATTATCAATTTAAAAGGAGGATTGCAATAACTTATATTTTGTTATTAATTTCAGTTAGATTATGCACGTATAATTAAAACAAAAATATGTATGTATGTACTATTTTTATGCAAATTGTACCCAAGTATTTGAATAAACTCTCAAATTCTATAGTATTGGTCCTCTCTAATGCCCGGCGCACACGTGAGTTATTTTACTCAGGTAAAATGACGCATGAGTCATTTTACTCACGTGTGCGGCAGATTTTCGTTGAGTAATTTGATGGGCATGCGTCATTATACTCACGTGTGCGGCAGATTTTCGTTGAGTAATTTGACTCATGCGTCATTTTACTTGAGTAAAATAACTCACGTGTGCGCCGGGCATAAGGATAGTATCTGGTGGTGCAACACTAATACTAGGTGAGACATATGGTGATACAGGACATTAGATAACATTGCCATGCACAAATATATACTAAATACATAATGTAAATGTAAAGGTAATCTAACTAGCCACAAGGTCACTAAAATTTCTATATCTAGACTAGCTGTATAGCTGTATATTCATGGAAAGATAAAAAAATAAAAAGTCATTCTTCCGATTGAAAAATAACATATAGTAAAGGATTACACAAACTCACACCAGACATCAACAATTACCAACAACTATTAGCTGTTATGCAGTAGGTGCACAACTAACAAAATACAGTAAACAAAATTAAAAAACATTGATTACACTAGTGGAAAATTTGGCGAGCAACACTAGTTTAACGCTGGTTTTATAATAATTTGTACTTACCTTGCGTGAGGAAATGCAGAGATGAAATCATGAAAAGTAGAGTACATCTCTGGCAGATTCGTAAAACAGACATGTGGAACGATGTCAATAACAGGAACCAGTCCTATGTGCCTTTCACTCGCAAACTTTTCCATATCTAGCAACTCACTGCAACAGTAGTCATTTGATGCAAGAGCACGTCGTACAACAAAGGGGGGAGTAGGTTTTTATAGATGACAATATTACACAACCAATATCGTTTGCTAGGTAATGATCATGCAATTACTTTCAATAATCCTGCTGTATCAATGACTTACAATGAAATGATTTTCTTTTAAATCTTCCATTAATTCATTTCAACAGAATCGTATCATTTTACCTTTGACTATAACAAAATTGCCATTCTTGTTGGTCTTTCAACCTGAATCTGTAGTACATGTGAACCTGCATAAAACAAGAATGGTTGAAGAATCAAATAAGCAAATTACTCTATTATAATACCATTCACACAGCAAAATGTGTGTAATGGTCGAAACAGCAAAAAAAATACAACTCACCAAGAGGATATATATTATGGGAACTAAGAGAACAACACACAATACATCATATTATCAGAGCAGTGCAAAAAGGTAAATTCCACTTATATTCTATTAATATTTTTGATAATAATATCAAATTAAGAAAACATTAATAATATTACTGATTATTAATCATCATAGTATCAATGCATATCACAAAGCTAATAAGCAACAATTTACTGCAATAATAACTGTAATATGCAATAATTAAGTCACTGGTAGCACAGTCATCGAAACATACGCAACAATGAGTGGAAATCGGATAGTTATCGTATCCATTACTCTATTACACTATGGCTCCATTTTGGATATAATAGCAGAGAATCATGATCAGTTACTTCTTTTCTGTTACCTGATTAATTTTTAGCCTAGCCAATAAGTCAATGGTGTTCATAAGCACTGCAAGTTTAGGCACGCGACCCTGAGAAAAGTCCAGCATTACCCCTCGATATGCCACGTGCGACCAGTCAGTGATCTGAAACAGGATAGCAAAAGTGAACATCAACACATAAAGCACACATGCTAGAGTATCTACCTTGCAAATATTACAAGTCCTACACACTACCTAGTATCTACAACTGACATACTGTATACACCATATTTTTTGCGTACAGATATTTTAGCGAATTCAGACTTGACGGACAATTTCGCGAGTGGTTAATTTCACGGTCGGTGAATTTACGAATCAGTGAAGAATAGCGTGTTGTTATTTTCGCGTGTTGTTATTTTTGCGGTCGGGGACGCGTTCGCGAAATTCACAAAATTTAAACCACCGCAAAATATACAGCATGTTCAGTAATATGTTTAAACTAGTTGTACCTGTAGCTGAGGTATACCGTCTTTCACACACAGTTTAAACAGTTGCAATAGTGTACACACTCCATAGAATAAACCTGCAGAGTCGCTGGCCATAATCTTGATCTGTTAAGAGAACATCGCCGGTCATCATTAATACCCAAAGAAGTTTAACTAACAATAGCATATTCGAAAAAGTTAAATAAATATCAGAATTGATTAAATCTGAGGTTTGGAGAATACATAATTTTTTGCTGACCAAATTAGGCAATCAATATGGACGAAACTAGGCAGACAAAAATAACATAAACAGTACTGACCCGATTACTAGAGACCACAAGTTTATATGCATCTTTTTTGGGAAGCAGCCGATGGTTGACGTGACACAAAACTTGAGTGGCATTCGCTGTAGGGCCTAGGGGTCTTACTCCAGCTAGGTGTACTTTATAGTTTAGAGCCTTAAATTCTGGTTCTAGTAGCTTCCAAGCCTCCTGCTGTGTGAAGGCAGAACCTAAAAGCACATAGCATTTTTGCAATGTGGTAGCTTGAAACTTTGCATTGTGGTATGGGAGGATATTCCAAACACCGTCAATAGTTGAATTGTCTCCGTAGCCACACTGTAACACCACATCACCTAATCAATTATTGACGTGTCTATTCGCAAGTACGTTCTACAAAAGCTTTCACCCATAAACGACCACAGACCTGCTTTATAGGTTTCACTAATGCATTACTCCTATTGCCCGCCATAGAGTATATGGCTAGCACTAGCTCAGTTTGCACCTGTTTTACGAGTATACGAAGATTACGCACACCATGTAATTATGTATTGTACATGCCACGATTAAAATTACGGAGCTAACCTATGGGCATAAAAGAAGCCCACTGCTGCCAATGCCACAGAGTTGTAAAACATTCATAAATGATACAGAACCAGACGTCATACTGCATCACAACCAGATGCCTGACTAGAGGCGCACTGACAATCGGGTGGACTAGAAACGACAAACGTCTATAAGCCATGGCTGTATAATTCACCAGCGATCATTGCATACAGATGATCACAATTACTTTCACACACATACCTTTATCACAGCAGGTTACGTAGATATCTAGCTGTTGTGCCACTACAAGTGCTTTCCCCCCAAGCTGAATAATCGTTTGTGGCTGTGGCCACAACATATTTAATCGCTGGTCAGTTATGAGAGGATCAGGAGGCAGTAGCGCTTCTGTGGAATGTATGGCAGCCTCATTGTCCGACTAAAAATGGAAAAACATTCATTAATCCAATAGCTGGATCCACATAGACAACATGCATGGAGTTAGTACAATGGATCAAATAAATATCTCTACATTTCTACCAAAATAAGTTTATAGTGAAATACAGCTAAAACTGTAAATATGGGTTACTCAAGGAAAACCCTGAAACTGAGCTTTACAGATAAGTGTCCTTTCTATAGAGGTCATTTCATTCTATAACTGCCACTCAAATAAAACATTAAAATTGCCCATTATAGGCAAATGTTCATTCTATAAAAGTGTCTGATAACATAGGTTTGACTGTGCAAATTTCCATATATATATCCGTAGAGTCTAACTTTTCACTACTTTTATTGCTTTTATACTTGCTTTATATTTGTTTTTATACTGCATAGCCACTGCACACTGTGCATCTATACTGTATGGTCTCTATAGGCTTGAGACTTTTCAACAAAAACTGAATCCCAGAATATATGACTACTAAACACGGCTCGGCAATTGCTGCACATCTCTCATTGACGGCCAACTTACACTATCCAGGAGGCCGTTGTGGACAGCTGGCGTGGTATGACCGTTAGGCAGGCTACTCTGACTGGGAGGTGTGCCATTCATATTCAGCCTTGCCTCAGATACATCAGTAAGCACTGAGTCCATAGAGAATCGCTTCTTTAGATGTTTTGTCGGTGTCGTTCCTACAGTTACACAGATATACCCATGGCAACTACATTATTCTCCTTATCAAGTACTATTCACTACAGGTTATTGAATGTGAACAGTCAAACTGCAATGTAAAGGTGTATACCTTCAGAAATGGATGCCCGTTCAAACTCCTTTCGCACATTACTTAACGGCAAGTCAGAAGACCGTAACACAGCTAACAACTCGGGCTTAAGTGCTGCAACATCTAGCGGACTCTTTCCCTCACATTTCCTACAAAATATCAACCAGTGATTCAATAATATATAAAAATTTATGGTCAAACAACTAGTTTATTTTCTACAATTGATTGATTCATCAATACAGTTTTAAATTGCAGTTCATTTTTAAACCTACACAATAAAAAAAAGGTTGCTGGTGAAGCAAATAGAGAGTTTCTTTGATGTATTAAAATAATTATTTATACTGTGTATTCTATATCACATGGTTAATCACTAATATCATCAGAAGACACATTTCTGTGTGAAGCCGCACCCTTTGCTAGCACAGATGTTTGGGTCTGTGCCATGTAGCATAAGTTCCTCCACGATGCCAACATCACCACGCATCACTGCATCGTGCAGAGGTGTCGTGCCTTCCGAGTTGGTAGCATTCATGTCTGCACCTCTATCTGCCAAGCATTCAAGCCATAAAAACAGCATAGTGTTAATGTGTACTGCTCTACGTTTTTTCACATCACTTGATATGTTAAACCTATTACAAAATACACTGAAGAGTGTTTTGGGGAATTATTTAATAGAATTTCAGCATAATCCAGAAAAAATTCACAACAAGTGCCGCAGAGCGACAGTGCTCAACTGATGCGTACTGTAGCCGGGTATTCTTCTGATACTGGTACTGGTAGGTCTAGTACTGACAAGTTATATTTATTAACCATCATTTTATTATTGAAATGACTCAAGTGCCTGTGGCTCTAATAGCAAAAGCAGTTCAGTCCTTTGTTAACAGTCAACAAATCCGTGTTTACGCCTCCTCTTGAGGGTCAAAAGGTTATCAGACACTTACTCTTCGCACGTCAGCGGAAAGCACATTTCATGGTCCTTTCAATAAAGTGATAAAAATGGTAGGTAAGCGCTGAAACAAAAAAGGCTTTCACTCGGTCCGTTAGACCATGTCCTCAGAAAACGTCTAATATCTGACTTTTCCCCACTGCCCTTTGACCTCAAATTTTGTGCTGGTGATGGGTTTCCTCCCCATCACACTATACATAGAATATTAAGAGCGTAGGTCAAGCCGTTGAGATTTGTGCCGCAATTCCGTATTTCCTCCTATACCTTAAGTTACGGGGAAAATATCCCCCCTCCATTGACACACTTGACCTTTGACCCTTGAACCCCAAATTTGACATCCCAAGTCTTTTTCGCGATCCCCCCCGACGTCCCGAATATCAAGACCGTACGTCGAGCAGTTAAGATTTGTGCCGTAACTGTTGACACACGGACGGACGGCCGGACGGACATTCATGCAATTCTACAAGCTGCCTCTGACTTCGTCAGCTGAGCTAAAAATTCATGGCAGGTGCCAATGGTAAACAAGCAAAGAATCAGCTAAAAATATTGTTTTTATAGCCAGGTATCCAGTACTCTGAGTCTAACTACAGTCATAATATTACTTGTATACCTCTATAAGGCATTACTTTACTATTACATACTAAAATATAATAGTACATTACGATACCGAATACATAAAGACTATATGCCTACATAATTTTGTTACCAGACACTGACTTTAGTTTTTAAACATTGACGATTAACAATCCTAGACATTGCCATAGCACCGCACGACTGTGCTGCTCCTCTGATAATGTTTCCTCACTGAATTTTTATCATAATTAAAATCACTGAGCACCATTACGATCTGTATGCATATATGTATTAACCACATGAGATTATCATTTAAATGAAAATGCATCAATTTACATAAGCTGTTTAATTGTACTTACCACAAAGACACTGCACTATATCTCTGTTCCCAAAGCTGGCAGCCCAGTGCATAGGTGTGTTCCCACTGTGCTCACTGTCCCTCAGGTTGACATTTATTCCTGATGCCAACAACTGGCAAACTCTACCAACACTACACAAAACAAACATTTTTCACTGTTAATGCATATATCTACAAACTGTTAATACACAAAAATAATAGTAGAAATCCATGCTCAAAATTTACAGAAAGCATCTCTTTCAATCTGTTACATAAAGTTGTGAGCATGGATTTCTACTATTATTTTTATTATTATTGTTATTTTATTATTATTAGTAGACAACTAGTTTCACCACCTTGATACAGTTATGACACATGATACAAATTAACGCAATAAGTAACCAGGGTTTCAATATTATAAACGAATGAGTAGCTGCTTACTTGGACTGTGCCGTGGCCTGTAGAAGCTCCTGGTTAAACACTTGGACCACCTTCTCCCCAGATGCTACATCAAATGCTGTGCTCTCCTCAATGTTGTGGATGCCAGGATCTGCCCCTGCTGCAAGCAAGGTCCGTACCACATCCGCATAGCCATACTGCACAACCAAAAACTAAATCTAAGTTTCAATTCCATTCTGGTTTTGAATAGGATATGCTACTGGATAGTGCAAGTCACTGAGAGGGAAAGGGAGAGGGAGAAGGAGCGAGAGAGAAAGAGAGAAAGGGGGGGAATAGAGTGGGAGAGAAAGAAATAGAAAGGGAGAAACAAAAATATAAAGGGAAAGGGCAGAGTGAAAAAAGTGACAGACAGAAAAGGGGCAGAAAGAGAGGGGAAGGGGGAGGGAAGGGGAAAGAGACAGAGAGAGAGACAGGGATGGGGAGTGAGAAAGAAAGGGAAGGGGAGAGAGAAGGGGAGTCAATGTGAAAGAATGTGAGAGGAAGAGAGCATTGTGGTGCAGTTCTTACAATGATGTGGTATGACAATGATGTATGTGATCTGACAATGATGTGGTACCTTACTGTGAAAACCTGATAAATAAACAAATACTTTTAGTGTCATGTTAGTCTAGACAAATATCTGACTTTTTACCACAAAAATCCTCTCAAGTTAAAGTTTATTGTAAATACACATGGTATGATACAACAATAGTGCATAAAAACCTTCGTTGCATAGTGTAACAGAGTTCCCTCTTTAGTGCACAGATCATTTAAAAGCTTCCTCAAAGTCAGATTTCCTGCTTCTTCAATTTCACCTGCAATAGGAAAAAAATAATGATTGTTTAAAATGCAACACTTCATAATGATTCTTTTCTGAAATACACACTACATGCACATGGAAAAAGAGTGCATGTATGCAAACGTGGATGCACATGCAAAGATAATAATCCCCATGTAGGGCCTATATGCATGGACTTCGCCGTTCAATCAATAAATCCTCATTCTAATGCTGTAGACACCTTATACAAACACAAACGTAACTATAACAAGTCTTTCAATTATCATAAGCTAACCTATATGGTCATGTGACAATGGGAGTGGTATACTACTGTCACCAACCAGCATCCATCTGCACTCACTTTTAGGGCTCATCTGTACATACAAATAATTGCAGTCCTTGCCCCTACTCACCTGCACACAACTGCAGTGACCATGCATGCACTTGCACCCACCTCCAAGCAATTGCAGTGCTTGCCTGCACTAACTTTTAACTTTCTTTGATTTTAAGGGTTGTGTTGTATACTTTGGGCAACAAGAAACAATTGCTGAAATCACTCTTCAATTTGTCCAAGGAAGTTATTGCATAAAAATACCAAGTTAACACATTCTGTACCCCGCTGCTGTCCACTAAGTCTTAGAGTCTATACTCTATATAGTGTAGAGCACAACAGCGGGATAAAGATGAAAGAAATACCAGGGCTTTAATTGAAGTCTAAAATTAAAGCCCACGTTGTATTTCTTCAGGATATGCGAACCAGGGCAAGTCGAACGTGGAGGTGGTCACAGGCACTTGGAGCGTTTCAATAAAGTATGATATTAAATAAATACGAAATCTATTTACTACCAAAGTCTTAATGTTTCTCTACCCTCTTTTACCTATTATTTCCGACAATTTCCTGTAAATGCCGTCCAAATGTTCATCTGCAACACACGCTGGCTGCCGCACGCTAGCTGCTGCACACTGACACATAAATATATAGCAGGTAGGAAAGCGTGCTGCCAAAATTCACTCGACGCTCGCTTGATTTCACACGAATACAACACAAATATTCAACCAGTCTACTCCATCTTTGTTTCTATTTGAAGAACAGTGTTCACTTGCTATAAAAACGTAATGTCTGTGTTTGTAACCGAGCTGTGTCACGCGAAATCCCACAAAGCCTGACGAAATTCTTGCGTTCGCTCCCGCTGCGCAGTTTATGTAAATGGCTGCAAGTACAGGGATATAGGTGGCGCACTGCATTTTGGGAAACTACCACGCTGCTTTCCAACTCCCGTACGAGCCTCGTCAAAGCCGCCAGTGGAGCGTTGCAATAATGCGGCGCAAAAATGAGGTCACGAAGAGCGCCGGTGGGCGTTTCCTGATTCCGACAGCCATTTACATAAACTGCGCAACGGGAGCGAACGCGATAATTTCGTTAGGCTTTGTGTGATTTCGCGTGACGCAGCTCGGTTACGAAAACAGACAGTATGTTTTTATAACAAGTGAACACTGTCCTTCAAATAGAAACAAACATGGAGTAGAATGGTTGAATATTTGTGTTGTATTCGTGTGAAATCAAGCGAGCATCGAGCGAATTTTGGCAGCACGCTTTCCTACTTGCTATATATATTTATGTGTCAGTGTGCAGCGAGCAACTAGCGTGCGGCAGCCAGCGTGTGTTGCAGATAAGCATTTGGACGGCATTTACAGGAAATTGTCAGCAATAAAAAGTGAAACTATTAACTAGAGAAACACTTGGGTAAATACTTTGGTAGTAAATAGATTTCGTATTTATTTAGCATTAATAATAATACCCCATTATGTTTTATTGAAATGCTCCAAGTGCCTGTGGAGGTGGAATAGTTTATTATGTTACAGGTAGGCTGTGTGCATAAAGTTATATACTATACTCTATACTAATAGAATATTAATACTGTAATACTAATACTAATAGTAATACTAATAGTAAGCCTAATAGTAATAGTAATAGTACTACTACTAAGTATATAATATAGATTATAATTTATAAATTATAATTTATAGTACTTCAAAGTTAAATGTCTTCATGTCTTACTTCTCTTTTTACTAGTCTACAACTTACAACGTTCACATGTTGATAATATAGATCTGACGATGTCAGTTCTATCTGATTGAACCGCTGCAATCAAACTTTCTTGGGCTTCCCTGATCATATTTACAAGTACAAAAAGTACGAAGCTTTCACCACAACACCACAAATTCTACATTCACGTGGACTCACCGCGGCATACTACGGCGCTTCGATCGCATACTCACGTATGCTTCCGGGTCATTTAGGAGATTTGTATCAGTGCGCATAACTTCTTTCTATATAATAATTGGGCCCTTTAAAAAAATGTATGTATAGTGTTTCTTTTTATTGTCAAAAGGCAACACTCAAGCGGACTGTTTATTAAAATTACTACGCTATACATTTGAACATGCAGTATAGGTTTTGTACCGGCCCTATAACCGGAAGTAGCAATGATAACTATAATTATTAGGTGTTGCAAGGCACCCGTGTTGATTGGTAAACATACGCACGACACAAGTTTGCAATAAGTATTTTTATGTGTGTAATAGCCTAAATAGGCTAACAGCATCAATTATGTCAAGTCTGTTAAAAATAAAACGGTTGACTCGTATTCCCCAGTTAGTATTCCCTTCTGTAAGAGCATATTCTGATGAGGTGCATAAAGAAATCATTGACAAGTTTGTCAAAAATGCACCGGTAGTCGTGTTCATGAAGGGCAACCCTGAAGCGCCGAAGTGCGGCTTCAGCAACGCAGTGGTACAGATTTTAAGGATGCACGAGGTTGCATATGAGAGCCACGATGTGCTTGCGGATGAATCCATGCGCCAGGGTAAATTGCGATTATACCCAGTCTGTATTGAATTTTCAACTTGCTTGAAGTTGGAGAATTTCTGTTCTCGTTTTCTAATTTGTAAATGTTGGAAGCAAGTTATAGATACTGATAGTGATAGATTAGACAGATATTTATTTATTTGGCCGTGGCTACGCAACCGGTTCTGGACGCAAAATTGTTTTCCCACTTGAGTTCCAGACCACAGCCAATCAGCGCACTCCATTCACTCGACTTCCTCGAAGCAACAATGTAAAATGAGGGTACCCCCTAAACCTAATCCTAACCCTAATTATAATCCAACCATATATATAAGAACCATTTATTACAAAACACTATCTATGGTGGGTCCGGAACTCAAGTGGGAAAAAAATTTCGCGTCCGAGAGAGCACGCGCGATAGGGAGAGAGATATATATACAGATTAGATAGAGAGAGGGAGAGTTAAGTTATGTATTTTTTTTAATAAAGTGCTATATATGACAAATAAAGTTGTATTTTCATATTAAATCTTTTATTTTTATCAGTTGTTGTTATGAATGGAGTACAATGGATATACAAATAAACTGTTATTCTAAACTACTTCTAT